ACTTCAGTCCGTATTACGATTCGCTCGATACTACCGTATCGCGATCACTTGTATTTACGGGTACTGGATGGGCACTTCGCGTGTCACCAACCAGCCCGGTTGTCAAAGAGCAAAGTCGATCCCGTCATTGGACGGTAGATAGTGGTGCATCCAAGCACTCCACTTTCCATCGTGAGTGGTTCATCACCTACGAACCATTCTCATCCTTTGCTGGTGCAGCCGATGGCCACCAACTCCATGTCATCGGCCGTGGCACAGTCCGACTCGAGGTCGCTGGCATCAACGATGACACATTAGTGATCTATCTGCAGGATGTTATAACACATCCCCGATTTACACTTCAATTTATTTTCCGTGGGTCGTGCACTACATATGGATAGACATAAAATTGTCTCCATCACCCCACAGGAGTGGACTCTAGCCACCTACGACGGCGAGTTCACCGCAACCTACGACGCAGTCACCGGGTTGTATGTCATTGCGACGCGGCTTTCACCGCGCATCGCCGACCCACATCGACCGTCCTCGTGACGCAGTCGAGTGCACAGGGCACTATGCAATGGCACCATCGACTGGGCCATCCAAGTCATGACAAGCTACGCAAATTGCGGCGTCATTCGACCGTGTTTGAATTTCCTATCTCTCGGCAGGCCATCACGGCCCATGCTTCGTGCGACACATGTTTAAGGTCGAAGTCCAAAGTACTTCCCTTTTCACGCAACAAATTGCCCAAGTCGTCGAGGCCTCTGGAACGAGTGCACTCCGACGTGTGGGGTCCAATCAATATCCCCTCTATTTCTGGGGGTCGATATTTCGTCACGTTCATCGACGACTTTACCCGATACACTTTTGTGTACATCATGCAAAAGCGCGCGGACCTGTACGACAAGTACAGCGCGTTCTGTCGCGACGCACGGCAGCGTTATCGCTCCGACGTCATCGAGCTTTGCTACCATCACTCACCACCCAGTGAGTTCGAGGAAATCCAAGCGCTCCAAATGGACAACGCTAAGGAGTATGTTAAACTCGGGGCCCGTATTCAAAGCGAATACGGCACCCGCCTTACGTACGCGAATTCATATACCCCGACCCAGAACCCTGTGGCCGAGCGGCGTATGGACATGATCGTCACCAGGCTCGCTCTACAGTATTCTACTGCATGGTAATTAACCACAGTTCTTGTGGGGCGAAGCCATTTCCCACGCAGTGTTCCTCATGAACACACTACCGTCCATCACCATCAGTGGGGACACTCCGTATCGTCTATGGCACCAGAGCCACCCAGACTACTCACGTTTACGCGTATTTGGCTGTGTAGCGTATGCACACGTCAACATACCCATGCGTGTGAACAAGCTGTCTCCCCGAGGCATGCTGTGCATGTATATTGGCTTACCCGAGACATCTCGAGGGTTCAAGCTGTTGAACATCGACACACATTACGTGCTTACGAGCCGCGATGTGACGTTCGTTGAACATCAGTTTCCCGTCCTGAAATCAGTCGAGGAGGTGAAACGTCTTCGAAGTGAACATCCATAACGGAACTGTTTCACCGTGGACCAAAGCTCACCACCCCTCCAACCAGGCCTGCCTTCACCCCTTGGGGAGGCTGCACCGTCCACGACACCAACATCTCTACCCTCGTTTGGGGAGGCCGTTTCATGGACGACGCCTCTACCCTCATTTGGGGAGGCCGTGACATCCACGTCGCCCTCATTTGGGGAGGCTGGGACATCAGCCCCCACCCTACTTGGGGGGGCCGATCCGACCTCACCTCTACCGACACTTGGGGAGGCTTTACTTCGTGGGTCAACAGGTACAGTGTGGCAAGTCCCTGTCGTACATGACGTACCCGACATCACTCCACCTGTCTGTTTGGGTGGCATCCTCCGCCACCCTTCACACCAGTCGTCCACCACTCCAAGGCCCAAGCGTCGTCGAACGTTGACCTTCAACACAACAGAGGAATATTTCCCCACCATGTACCTCGTTCCACGAGAAGTACAGACTGCCGTACTCCGGCATGTGTGAGTACGACATCCACCTCCACTCCAACGTCGTCACATACGACAACCCCATTGCTCGCACTTCCGCCTCTGCCCTCACGGTCTCGAGCAGCGGTGATAGCACATGTCGTACGTCGTCTCATCGACGTCTACCACACTGGACACGGCGGACACGTCCACGCGACGGTCCAGCTCAGTTGCTGATGTCGTATATTGAGGACGCCTCAGGCGCTCAATCTCTCTCGACGCCGCAACACATCCTCCTCGCCCTCAAGGACACGACTCCTTCAGAGGAGCCTAAGACCTACAAACAGGCGATGAAATCGCCAGCCAAAGCGCAGTGGCTTGAAGCCATGATGCTCGAGCTGGCAGCCCATGAGGCGAACGGGTCGTTCGAACCAGCCACCTTGCCTCCAGATGCGACACCACTGGGCATGCGTTGGGTGTTCAAAATCAAATACGACGACTCGACCACAGAGGCTACGAGACGCGTCGCTCGCTACAAAGCGCGACTTGTGATCCAAGGACACACTCAAATTCAAGGCGTCGACTACGAGGAGAGCTACTCCCCGGTCATTGCCAAAGAAATCCTCCGAACGATGCTCACTCTCGGCGCGTCTCTCGACTACGAGATCGATGCAATGGATGTCATCACAGCCTTTCTCAACGGGGAAATCGACTGCGAGGTCTACGTCAAACATCCACCTGGATTTGACACCGCGAAGAATCGCCGCGATGTCTTTCGGGTCCTCCGCAGTGTTTATGGTCTCAAGCAAGCCCCTCGCTTGTGGTACCAGACACTAGCTACCTACTTGCGCCGGCAAGGGTACACCCAGCTTGTCAAAGACCGCTGTGTCTTCACCAAGCAGATAGACGGCCAAGCCGTTTACATCGGCGTCTACGTTGACGACCCAGTCATCATGGCTCCTTCACCGGACATGATGCGCACCATCAAACATGGTCTGTCATCGCGTGTTCGAATGCATGATCTTGGGGCTCTCACGTTTATTCTCGGATTCTACATTGTTCGAGATCGTTCTGCTCGAACTCTCACAATGCATCAATCCCAATATGCAACCTCGATTCTCAAGAGGTTCAGCATGGAGAATTCAAAACCAGCCCCCACTCCGATGGAGTACAACCTCAAGCTGTCTGAGTCGATGTGTCCTCAGAACGATGCTGAACGCCACTCCATGGTGGACAAGCCTTAGGTGGACAAGCCTTACCGATCGGTAGTCGGCAGCATCATGTATCTCATGATTAGCACTCGACCCGACCTCGCGTACGTCGCCCAACAACTGAGCCAGTTCCTCACGAACCCCGGCCCTGCCCACTGGCAGGCAGCCAAGCGCGCCCTCCGGTACATCAGAGGAACGATCAACTACGGTCTCGTCCTCGGCGGTGCGTACGATCACTCCGCTCCGCTCCATGCGTATGCGGACAGTGACCACGCTAACTGTGTTGATACCCGACGCTGCGTCGCGGGCTTCGTGACAATTTACCGGAACTCTGCGATCTCTTGGATCGCTAAGAGGCTACGGAGCATCGTCCTCTCGACAACCGAGGCAGAACTCATGATTCTGTGCACAGTTGCACAAGAATGCCTGTACATCAAGCAGGCAGTTGGTGAGATGGGACATCCCATCACCACATCGATTCCTCTTCACGAGGACAATCAGAGCACCATCCAGATCGTGAACAACTCTGGCCACCATGGGCGTACCAAACATATTGATGTACGCTACCATTTCATCAACGACCTTGTGGAACAACAGACGTTTAGTCTTGTTTACACCGATACGCGACATCAAGTCGCGGATATCTTTACCAAACCACTTGATGTGACAACGTTCTGCGCTTTGCGCAGTCAACTAAGGGTGAGGCAGCTGCCGCCCGACAGCACCCTCCGGCGCGAGCCAAGGAGCGCAGACTCCGGCCTCTCAGCCCATGACTGCGCCGACATGTAAGGGGGACGCCCTGGACCATGTTGGTTCGACATTGGGGGGTGACGGCATCCCGGTGGTTACTCAATCCATCCGGCCCTTCCTCGGCGCGTCGTTCAGAACGGGCCAATTGGTAGGGACCCGCTGAAAGGGATGTCCGACGAGTTTAGTCCCGGACAAAAGACGGTGTAACCAGTGGTGGTTACGCTCACTGAGCATAACCGCCAGCCTATTTCTGCACTCTGGGCACCTCATTCCGGTTGACAGTGCGTTGCGCTGTTGGGAGGCAGTCAGAATACCCTGTTCTAATAGAGAACACCCCATTGCCCTGTCAGTCAGGTAGCAGCGTCTGCTAGCTGTGTAGGAGGTTTTTGTGCCTTCTAGAGGCTTTTCCTCCGAGTAGAAGTCAGCGCAGACATTTGGTCATGGAACATCACTGGATGTCGTGGTCAATCATAGTTAGTTTTGATTGGCTGGTTCTTTCCAGTCAGAAGTAATTCACTTCCAGTTATTCCTTCTGCCTCCCACGTGTCTGTTCCTGCCTACTGCCCTTCCAAGTTTTACGTTATGTCAAGAAATCGACCCAGACTTAATCAACCAACACCACACCCACGTGAATTACGTCGAAGATTAACAGACACCATCAAACCGTATCGTTTAGATGGGTAGTATGATTGTAGAAACATTGAGGCAGTGTCATGCACAATCAAGAACAGGGCTTACGCCAGGTCACGATAGTTTATACACACAAATCGTGTGCGTGTGTTGTTGGCCGAGGATTGAGAGGTTCGTAATGTAGTAGCCTTGACTTTCATTCCAGGTGCTACCTCGAACTGAGCTTTGCATTATTGTGCGTGTACGTATACCTCCCTCCCACCTATCCACACACACTAGAATGTCAGCCAACAAGGACCCTTGGACTGTAGAATGCATGAAAATACCTATTTTCTAGCAATGTCATTGGCCCAATGAAACTAACGTTATCCGGATATGACTGGACGATTTGATGAGAGAGTGTTCTTATATCAAGGGAGATCCTTGTGGATTCCACCTGGGGTTGAGAACATACATCAGTTGCTGGACATTCAGGATGAGCAAAGGGCCTGATGAGAATGGCCTTGAAGGTGGCGACATTTGGGGTGAAATTGAGCCGGAGATCCTCGGGATGACAAACGACGAGCTTAAGCAACGCATTCGGCTGCTGGATAACGAGATCCGCATCATGCGCAGCGACATCACGCGGATCAACCACGAAAGCCAGACCCAACGCGAGCGCATCAAGGAAAACAACGAAAAGGTCAAGCTGAACAAGCAATTGCCGTACCTGGTGGGAAACGTAGTCGAGATCCTTGAGATGGAGAACGAAGACGACGAGCAAGACGGCGCGGCGGCGGATGCGGACGTTGGCCGAAAAGGCAAGAGCGCCGTGATCAAAACGTCGACCAGACAAACCATCTTCCTCAGCATTCCAGGGCTTGTGGACGCTGAGAAGTTGATCCCGAACGACCTCGTGGGCACGAACAAGGACAGCTACCTCATTCTGGAAAAGCTGCCGGCCGAGTACGACTCCCGCGTCAAGGCCATGGAGGTGGACGAGAAACCCACGGAAGACTACAACGACATTGGTGGGTTGGACAAGCAGATCCAGGAGCTGGTCGAAGCCGTGGTGCTCCCTATGACGCACATGGAGCGCTTCCTCGCCATCGGCATCCAGCCGCCGAAAGGAGTGCTGCTCTACGGTCCTCCCGGCACCGGCAAGACCCTCTTGGCTCGCGCGTGTGCCAAGCAGACGGATGCAATCTTCCTCAAACTGGCGGCGCCGCAGTTGGTGCAGATGTTCATTGGGGACGGTGCCAAGGTAAGACAGACGTTGACGATCGCTTGAGGTGTGTATTCTTGACATGGGCCGCGTAGCTTGTGCGCGACGCATTCGAGTTGGCCAAGGAGAAGTGTAAGGACAAGAGCAAGGGCGGCGCCATCATCTTTATCGACGAACTGGACGCCATCGGAACCAAGCGCTTCGGAGGCGAGCAGTCGGGGGACCGCGAAGTGCAGCGCACGATGCTGGAGCTGCTGAACCAACTGGACGGGTTCACGAGCAACACCAAGATCAAAGTGATTGCGGCCACCAACCGTCCCGACGTGCTCGACCCTGCACTGTTGCGGTCCGGTCGGCTGGATCGCAAGGTACGCTGCCACGTCATTCACTGGTCGTTTGTATGGTGATCGCTTTTGCTCAAGTGGTGCTGTAGATTGAACTGCCTCATCCGAACGAAGAGGCGCGGGCGCGGATCCTTCAAATTCACTCGCGTAAAATGAACGTCGACATGGCTGGTACAGATATATCTATGTATATATATATATATATATTGTGCATTTCACCCCGATTTGGACTTGAATATATCTCTGTATATATATATATATATATTGTGCATTTCACCAATTAGCATTCGAACCCATTTAAGCTTGTATAAACTATACTATACAACGATTCGTATATATATATATATATATATATAAGTGGTTTTGCCCCACTGGGGCAAATGAAACGTTTGGATTGGCAGAAAAAGTTCAACAAGACGTGATTTGATTGGCTTTGGCGGTTCTTGAATCCATTCTCTTAAAACATTCGATTCTGCTGAGGCCTCCAGGATTTCGAATCGATTCGACTATTTAAATATATATATATTGTTGCTGTGCAACTTGCTCAGTAATGCATGGTTGGGGTAGACGTCAACTTTGACGAGCTGGCGCGATGCACGGACGACTTCAACGGCGCGCAGCTCAAGGCGGTGTGCGTGGAAGCGGGCATGTTGGCGCTGCGCCGCGAAGCCAGTATCATCAAGGTATAAAGAAGAAATGCCAAATATAACATAATGTGATGCTGTTGTATATATAGCACGAAGACTTTATGGAAGGCATTGGGGTTGTGTCGGCCAAGAAGAAGGCGACGCTGCAGTACTATGCTTAACAGTAGAGAAAAGCCCCACAACCATCCGTGCTTCTACGTTGTTTGTTCGGATCTTGGCGGCGATTCGTCCGCCGCTTGCGTAGACAGCATGCTATCCATCATCGAGTGCAAATCTCGCACTTTACCAGTCAATACTTCCTGGACTCGCTTGATCCTGTCCAGCTGCAGCACCGCCTCGGCCCCGATACCCCCCGAGTGCATGCCGAACCCAGATAACCCCTACGCACGCACACATACATGCATTGAAATACCTATCGAAAAATCACATATCTGGTTATGGTACGCACCTCGTGGTCTGGCTCGATGGAGCTCTTCCAGTTGAGTCGATACGATGGGTTCTTGGGCTTGGAGTTCTTGCGGCCGACCACGCGCGTGTCGTCGTCGGTGCTGTCGCGCTGAGTAGACTGCGGCGTCCCCAAGTTGTTTTTCGCCTGTGCCCGCGCCTTGGAGTAATTGGCTAGCTTTTGCATCATCTTTGGAAAATGCACGAGCGCTACAGGAAGATAAAAATTATATATTTTGCACCATATGTTGCTTTTGAATATATATATATACCTTCCAAGAACCGAACCCGAGATAGCATGCGCAGCTCGCAGAAACACAACGTCCGCACCGTCGCCATGCGCTTGCAATCTTTGTTCAAGATGGCCATTTCGCCTACAAATGTATATAAATAAGGGTGTTTTGCCCATTTAATATTATAAAAATTTGGTTCAGGGTGGATCACAATTAATATTTCGAAATTTTGAAGCATTTTTGTATATTGTCATATCTATTTTTGACTGTCTGGATGATCAAAACAGATTTTGAAACAACGTCCACGATTCTCAGTTCTTGCCAATTTTCAGAAAAAAAGTCCCTTGAACTATTTTTCTTATTTTTCGGCGAAATACCCGAAATTTCTCCAAATTTTGGATCCAGACAAATAATTTTTCATTGTTTGCCGATTTTTAAGAAATTGCCAAGATATCGAAGGTTTTGGCGGCCTTTTTTTTACCTCCAGACTCACCCTAAATAGAATATATTTATTGATTCTCAAACAACTGCAAACTTCAAATAAAATAACATTCGTCAGATATCACACAATACATACTGTACATATAATACATATTTATTCTCAAACAAAACTGCAAAGTTCAAGTATAACGTTAATATATATATATATATATCCGTCAGATTCACAATCCACACAGAAGTTTCCATGTGTAGTTCAAGTGAAACATGTTCAAATCTAGCCAACACTTTGTGGAGTTACCAAAGTACTGGTTTTCCCCTAGGACGGTGAGTTGGATGCCGTCCTTGAGCACCTCGACGGCGCCGCGAAAGATGAAGAACATCTCGTGGCCGAGCTCGCCCTCCACGCACACGTCTTCGAACGGCGCAAAGCAGATCATGCGCATGCTCAGCGCCAGATCCATGATAAAGTTGGGGTCGCTGCCCTTGAAGAACGGAAACTTCCAAAGGAAATGATCGTTGATCGCCAGCGCAATCTTGGACCGAAGCATCGCCGACAACTCGTTGAGCAACTCCTGCTCTTGCAGCATGTCATTCTCTTTGGATTTGCGCGCATTCTGGAAAAACTCTCGGATTTCAATGCGAAGTTGCCGCGGCAAGTCCCGCGCCGCCATGTACTCGTTGATTTCGTCCTACAACAATTCGATCAATGTCGGAATATAGTTAGTTGGAAATATATATTATGATTTTGGTACACATTTCCCAAGTCTGCGGCAAACGATTTGGAAAACCGATTATAAATCTCGCCGCAAAGTTTCATTGGCTTTCCCGATGCCGCAGAATGCACGAAAAAGGAAAACGAAACAAATAATGTAGCCAATCCGCGACAAGCATTTTCAGAGTGACCAATAGGAGCGATTCGTGATCAATATGGCCGGCGCGATTCGATTGAACCGAGTCCAGAAATTCACAGTCAGATCAAGAATATCTCGGCGTATTACCATTTTCTCACGGAAGGCTGTTTCGTGCGCGGTTAAACTGGACACGAGTGCTACAATCTACGAATAGACAAGTAGTCAATAACAAATAAACCGACTTTTGTGTCCCCGGGAGTGTTAGTTGAGTAGTTACGTTGGTGATGCCATACGCAAAGATGCCTGCGCCAGCAAACATGGCAAAGATGGCAAACAGTCTTTCGTTGGTGCTGATGGCAGACACGTCGCCGTAGCCCACCGTGGCCCTACCCACGTCGATCATGCAGAGGGACTTCATTGGATGAGCTACTACTACTACTAATACTAACTACTAGCTCTCGTACAGCGTCATGATGGCCCAGTAGAGCGCCGCCACGTATTGGTCGGCAATCGTGGCGGAAAAGAGCGATTTTTCCTTGAGCCACGTGTTCACAGGGGGTTCCATCGACGTCGAGTCTTGATATGACACCCAAAAGAAAAAGCAGCTACATATATATATATGTATATATTTGTAAGATAGAACCTTTTGATAAGAACACATCAGAAGACGTACGCAAACCAGTGCGAAATGAACACGACTGTGAGGCAGTAGCGGAAGAGGCTGCTGATGGTCGACCGGATCAGCAGCGCATGTTGCAGTCGATTGAGGATTCGAATCATGCGGAACAGCCGCAGTAGCCGCACGAGCCGGAACAGCCGGAGGATCTTGCCCAGCTGCTCGTCTTGAGCCGCCAGCACTTGCGTAAATGGAAACGTCGACGAGAAGTCCACGACAAACCTACCTAAATATCAGCAAAATAGTAATAATATATATATAGTACCAAGTGCTAAAGTAGCGCTTGGCGATAGTCGCCATGTCAAAGTACACTTTGCCTTTCATGTCGACGCCAGTGAAAAAATTCGCCACCTCCATGGCAAATATTAATATATATATATATGTTCATTTGGGTACAATGTCCACGCCGAAAAAGGCATCGATGCAATAGTCCACCGTGACACTCCACGCGCTGTCGGCTGCGGTCTTTTCAAAGGACACTTGGTACTAGTTAATCACATCGGTAATTAGTTGATGGCGAGAGTAGTACACACACGTACAGGAATGACAAATGCATTGTAAAAGATCAGCACGATGCACGCGACGTCCCATCGCAATCGCACGCGGCCGTGGGGGTGCATGATGTACTGCTTCTCGAGCAGCCAGTGCTTGACTTCTTCTTTCACCGACTCCGAGTCTACGTGATTGTCAGGGGTTGATGGGGTTGTTTAGGTATTGCGTCTACGACCTCGTATCGTGTTGTCGCCTTTATTTTTGAGCGCTTTTTCCAAATGCGCGTGATTCATCATCTCCTCCTGTGGACTCATGCTCACTTGGACGGGGGTCGCCGTGGTTGAGATGGCAATCACGTCTCGGCCCATGTTGGGCGCTGTGTTGCGCAGCTCCTCTGTGATGTCGGCGCTCATGGCCGCCGCATCCGGCAGCATCACCACGGGCTTATTCATCATGTTCCGAGTGCTCTTGCCCATCTTGACGACTTGGATGGTGCTCATTCGTCGCTCGCGCGCTGTCGTGGGAAACGACCCGCTGCTACCACCGGCACTCACTCGCCGATCGCCATTCAAACCCCCACCGCTCCCCCCTCGACTTCCCTTGTCTCCACCAATGGGGGGAAGCATCCCACCGCCCCCCCCTCGACTGCCCTTGTCTCCACCAATAGGGGGAAGCACTGGATGCACCGCGTTCATGCTGTCGTGGGTGCGTTGCGAAACCGTTTGTGTTGCCCTGCATGCTAGCAGTTACAAATAAAATAGCCCACCGCGTAATAACGCAAATGTATACAGGCGATCATTTGTACCGTGTTCTGAAATCGCGTGCTGCCTTTCAGCACAGCTCGGCAATTCCGTTGCTACAGTAGGTACTGAATTACGAGCAACAACAGTTCATTGAATAAGCACACACACGTGCATGTAGCGACGCCTCGTTTTCGTGCCCGCGTGGCAGAAGTACCACACTATATATCGTCATGTATGTGATACTGTTGTCGTACTACTCTTCTTCATGGTGATTGATTGATCCTACGACGAATAGTGCGTTGCGCGTTTGACAAGGGACACCACGATCCCCCTACATTACAGTATACTTACTACATTTCGGTTCACTGCACCTGCTTCTGCATCCAACTAACTACCCGCATGTTCCGTCGAATATGATTTGATGTGATCGCACGTCCGCTCTTCGTCAACATGGCTTGACCAGACGCTTCTCGTATCGCTGCGTTGTGAACGTCCGTTGACGGCGGTTTCAAAATGGGAATGATGGTTGAAAATGTTGGTTTGAATGAGAAGTTATTAGATAGAGCATAACCCTTACCTCCGTAACCGATTTTACAACGAACGATTCAGCAAAAACGGTCAGAAAAGTTGAAACCCCTAGGTCTTTTCTGTTTTCTGCTTTCTTGAACCATTTTTTCTCACGGGCTGGTGAAGATTTGATTGCTCGATAGATAGGAGGGATATCGAATGAGCCCCCCCGGATAGATCTACTGCATATTCGCATTAGCTTGGCGCTTTCAGTTTACTGTCGTATCCGGATGCCGGGCTCTCTGTGTACATTAACTGTAAGTAGTGCAGCAGTGGTAGTACAAACTATTAATCGTAAATTTAGAATTAACTCTATGACCTGCAAGAATATTCAATACTGTACCCCTGCCTTCTTACTAGACGCTTAATATCTAGTATCCAAGACCCTCGTACGCCTTGTCTTCAAGTACATACATATATAGTGCATTTCACCCAAATTTGGACCTGCGAGTCATTTCACCAAATAGTATTTGAACCCATTGAAGCTTGTACAAACTGTAGTATACAACGATTAGTATATATATGTGGTTTTCCCAATGGGCCGAATCAAACGTTTGGATTGGCAGAAATTCGACAAGACGTGATTTCATTGGCTTAGGGGATCTATAATTATTATGACATTCGATTCTGCTGAGGGTTCCAGTTTCGAATCAATTTGACAATAGTACTACTACTATTCAATTCACAATCCATTCAATCCGTGGGTCCACCACTTGCATTAGTATTTTTATTCCGACTCGGGCTGGTGTCGGTCTTTGGCGGCGTTGGCTGGCATTTCAATCACGATTTTACCCGTGACGTGGCCTGCTTCGAGCAGTTCCATGGCCTCCAGCGCCTGTGCGAACGGAAATACCTTGTCGATCACAGGGCGTACCAGTCCATCTTGGCAGTACGTCGCCACCTCTCGCAGCATCCGTCCATCCGGTGACACCAGCACGTACGCGTACTCGACCGACCGCGCGCGGGCCTTGGCCTTCATGGAGTAGCTCAAGCAGCCCAGGACGATCCCCAGGCAGCACGATGGCCGGCCGTGCAGTTCGTCCTCCAAGTCTCCCATTGCTTCCTGATAAATAAATAAATAAATATATATGAATATTTACATTTATATATATATGAATATTTACATTTATATATATATGAATATTTACATTTATATATATATGAATATTTACATTTATATATATATATATGATAGATATTTACATTTATATATATATATATATGATAGATATCGAGTATTCACGGACCGGAGGAGGGGTATCTGCGATGGACGCGACGATGCCGCCGCTTTTGACGCACTCGACGCACTTTTTGGCCTAGAACACAATAATTATTTGATCTAGACATGTATATATATATATATATATATATATATATTTATAGATATATATAGATATATATAGATATATAGCATGACCAACCTCGCTAGTGCAATCCATGGCGCAGTCGTAGTCTGTTAATTCTTTCTCGAAGTGACTGTCCGAGTAGTCGACAATGATGTCAGCACCCAGCCTTGTCAATATATGGTCCTTTTGCTGGAGGGCCGTGGTAGCAATTTGACCTGCCTGTATAAATCACATAGTAATAAATAAATAAATACCCCAGTGAATCGTACCAAAGATAATTCTAGTATACCTTAAATACATTCTTCGCCAGTTGCAGCGCAAACGTGCCCACGCCGCCAGACCTAGTGAATATTTGAAATATATATTATATATTTCCAAGAATCATCGTACGTACGTACCCGCCAGTTAGAAGGAAGCTTTGACCTGGCTTCAAATTCAAGCGACGGAGCGTCTGCATCGCCACAAGCGCAGAGATCGGCACGGCGGCAGCTTGGATGAAGCTACATGATGCATCAGACACCACCAAGAGTCGGGTAATGGAGAGATGGATGACCTCAGATTCTTGGGCTTGAGGGCCGCGGCTCGCTCGGGCACGGCGGCAAACCTAAACATGGGGTCAAGTCGTGATTAATGCGATGACGGACAGACGTACTCGGCCAGGGTCCCGATTCTGTCGTGCGGAACACAAGCAAACACTTCGTCGCCCACGTGAAAGTTCTTGACGCTTGTCCCGCAAAGGACGACGACGCCAGCCATGTCGTATCCGACAATGTTGGGCCATTTCGATTCCAGTATGAGTTTGAACGCTCCTTCGCGACGCTTGTAGTCGATCTATGGACGCGTCAGAAACGAATATGACATGCGATACATCGTACTGGGTTGATGGATGCGGCGTGAACGCGGACAAGGATGTCGTCAGGGGCGACGAGAGTGGCACGAGGCAGCTGACCGATCTGAACCACAGAAGGTTTGCCGTACTTGGTATAATAGCAAGCCTGCATCATCGGGGGGGATGACTCGTCCTCGGATTCATCATCTGACCGATACGTGTGCCGCATCTCCACGCGGCCCTTCTCCATCGCCACTGCCGACGGGACGGCGGCGGATTGTTGCAAAGCCATCTTTGTTGTGGGTTATAAAAAGAAAACCTCAAAATGTCCCAATTTTATCCAATCAAACACCTTCAAACCCATCTGGGATTCGAAAAACCCCATCCTCACGTTTCATTGGCTGAAATTCAGACATATCCGAAGGAAACGCGTTGGAGGCGGCATCACTGCCTGTTGAATGTGTCGGCTCCCCGAAGTTATGGTGGTTCGACGACTGAGTTGGCTGGCTGGGGCCATGGACGAAGTGGTAGTTTGAGCCCTTGCGGTATTCCGGCGCTGGTAGTATGTTTCGCCGGTGGTGTTGGTTATCTCGACGGCTGGTGTCGCTCGTGGAATGCGATGAAGACTGTGTAGGCATGTTCATGCGGCCATCGCGCGACAAGTCGGCTATATTCCAAGCAGCTACGTGGGTTGGCGTGGTTCCATGCATCTGTGCATTCTCGCACAGAAACACTGTTCTCGCCAGCCAGCAAATCCAACCATTGGTTCACTCGCCTTTCACAAGTCAACTAATTCGATGCAATGAACGACTGCCCACCTTATGCGTTGACATCATTCTCACGCATTCTCAACACAGTAAAGCTAGAGAGTAAGCTCGTGCTAGTGCGCAATGAACCCGCCGCCCGCATGTCATTCGTGGGCCGTGTGACCCTTGGGCTTTTCGTGTGTATCTTTGGCATATTGGGTAGAAATATTGCATTTCACAGGTTCGATGGGCGGTGCGGAGTAAAGAATAAAGTGTCACAGGATTGCAATTTCATTCGCTGGAAGTTACAAAACCTCGGGCAATCCAACTTGCGTTGGGTGGGTTCAAGGGCAGCATTGGTGATCTTGTGCAGTGCGAGAACATGAGGCAGGCCAAGGAGCGCAGAGCGTACTCCCAGAGCCCTCCGCGAGGATCGCCCACGAGCGGGGAAGGCCGCATCTCCCTTCGCGTGGACCAGCCCGTAGAAGGATGCGAGGTGACCACACATGCGTTCTACCGATCCAGCGATGGCGACATCGACGACGACGACTTCCGGCTGAAATTCAGCTGGTCCAAGTCCCACTCAAAGCGGTGCTGTGCGAACAAGCAGTGCGCTCGGATAGGCAATGGCGAAGGCAACGTCGTTCTTCTCATGGCCACGGTGGATTGCGCCGTGTGCCTCCGGCAGGGCCTCTCCAGCGACAGCGCTCGCTTTTGCACGCTGGAATGTTTTCGAAGCGCGTGGAGCACACATCGTCAAATACATACCAACGGCACGACGAAACTGCGCATCCGCGGCGCCGACGACCTCGACCGACACAAGTCCGTGGTCCAAGAAGCGCCGGTGCGCCCCACCACTGAACGATGGAGTGTCCTTCAAGCCGCCAAGTAAGCACATATCTTGTTCATCATGTTCGTCGATCGCTGATCAAAGTCGTTGTAGGACGTACACACCGTCCACCGCAGACGTCGGCCACATCCTTCGAGTCGAATGCACGCCGCTGTTCCGCACGGGCGAAGAATGCGGCCCGCCCAAGTACATGGAGACCAACATCGTCCTCCCATGTATGTACATCCATCCTTATTCCTTGCCTCATGCGCGACTAGTTCCGCCGATGGCGCCGACGCGGCAGATGGTGCCAGCGATCGGCAAAGACGAGCGGCTGACGGCGGCGCGGCTGCGCATCCACGGCGGCTTTCGCATCTTGTCGTACAATGTCTTGGCAGAGATCTACGCCACGCGACAGATGTACCCGTACTGCCCGATGTGGGCACTGAACTGGTCGTTTCGGAAGCAGTTGCTCCAGCGCGAACTGCAACTGTACAACGCCGACATTTTGTGCTTGCAGGTAGGTATAATATATATGTACTCACACTATATTTGTTCTCGTCTAACACTATATTTGTTCTAATGTGGGTATATGGATTGATATAGGAAGTCCAAGCGGACCACTACAAGAACCACTTTCTGCCCATGATGACAGCATGGGGGTACGAAGGCATGTTTCAGAAGAAGACGCGGGAAAGCATGGGGCTGGAAGGCAAGGTGGACGGATGTGCCATGTTTTACCGATCGTCGCGGTAATATATATCAAAATGGTTTATATATATTATGATTCCAATATCTCTCGTTGTGTTTGTATTGTCGATTTGATACAAATTTGGGGAGGGGGTGCAATCGAATCGCGCCGACCAAACCGATCCACAATCGATCTGATTGGTTGAATTTCATTTAGAAGGTTTTGATTGGCTAATAAGTTTTAGCTCTTCTGAAGTAGCCAATCAAATCGATTTAAATTCCAACGAGAAACCACGCCACAACACGAAATTTCACTCGAAAGCACAATACAGGGGTGTTGTTTTATTACATCTATTATTTTAATATAATACGATTCGATTCCAATATCTCTCATTTTGTTTTGTATCATGGTGTGCTTCTATATATATTCTACAATCTCTTGTTGTATTTGTCCAGGGATGTGTTTTTATTATATTTATTATTTTAATACGATTCGATTCGAATATCTTTCATCTTGTTTGTCAAAATGGGTAGGTTTTGTATTATGTACTAGTAGTATGCAGTATTTACTGTATGCTTCGATTCTACTATCTCACGATTTGATTGTAGTACAATGGTGTATGCTTTTATCGATATATTACATATGAATCGATTCAACTAGTGCTCAGCTTGTTTGACAAACTTATATATATATATATATATATGATATGCTATGGTTAGATTCTACCTCAAAGAACAGTACGCGGTCGAATTCAACGAAGCCGCGACCGACTTTATTGCGTCCATGTGGTCCAACTTTGAACTCGCGTATCCGTCTGCTTCCAACCAAGAACGAGAGGTTCGCCCTATATCTATATATCTATATATATATAATATATATATATATATCCAACTCGAACAATTAGACGTTTCAAGCGAGCATGGCGCGGGTCCGGCAACGCCTCGTCCGTGATAACATTGCCCAGATCGTCATACTCGACGTGGTGGCAACCGAGCCGCGCAAGGCGGCGACGTGCATCAGCATCGCGAACGTGCATATATTTTCCAACCCAGAGTTCCCAGACGTCAAGCTGTGGCAGACGCACACGCTATTGGACCAGATGGACCACCTCTGCCACTCACGGCGGCTGCCGGTGATCGTGTGCGGCGACTTCAACAGCGAGCCATCCAGCGCCGTGTACAGCTTGTTAAGCCAGAATCACGTGCGCAGTGACCACCCTGACCTCAAGAACCTGGCAGAAGTGCTCCACTTGAGCAAGCTGACCCACCCCATGACGCTGCAGAGCGCGTACGCGGCCGTGTTTGGGAGCGAGCCGGCGTACACCAACTACACGGGCAGCTGGGTCGGCGTCGTGGATTACATTTGGTTCAGCGCCGACTCGCTCGTGGCGGCCGCGGGGCTCGAGGTGCATCCGCCGCATGTGCTCCGAGCCTACGCCCGGACGTGTCTGCCCAACTGCCAGTACATTAGCGACCACGTACCGATTTGCATTGACTTTAGTTTCAAGACACCCAATACGTACACTAGTACTGGGGGACGGTACTAATAAAACTACAGGGGGATGTAGTAGTAGGTAGTTAGTAGAAAGATATAACAATCACCAATGGTAATAATAACAACAATGCTATTATTATAATACAACGATATTCAACGACAGCACGTACACTAGTACAGGGGGATGTAGTAGTAGTAGTAGGTAGTTAGTAGTAGAAAGATATAGGGGGATGTAGTAGTAGTAGTAGTAGGTAGTTAGTAGGTAGTAGTAGAAAGAATATAACAATAATGACCAATGGTAATAACAATGGAAGTATTATGATGGATTATATACTTGAACGCTATTCTCATCATCTGCAACAACGACCCCGTCGGTCTGTCGATGGTGTCGCCGCCGTCGACCTAGTGCAATTCCCGGTCCATTGTTGGTTCGTTTTCGAGATCCGTTTAGTATAGGCGCGGCGTTGGACGGTGCGTTCGATGCTGTCGAGGCTGCTAGCACATGGCACATACACTGCATGTGGCCACACGTGGTGCACATACCGGCGGCGGCAGGGTCATCGCGCAAGTCGGAGCGATCCAACTGCATGGCCAGACTGCCAGCGTTGACAATCTTGCGACACTCGGCGACCACGGCGTCCGCCACGGCCACTACATGCAGGTTGCTGCTGCCTTTCAATGCTTCCATTTTGGTGGCGTGTGTATGGGCGTTGTGCTGTCGGACTCGCTCGTCTGACTCACGACGGCTGGCCATTCGTCCAGCATACGAGAGAGATGTCGACGGAGGGGGGGCTTTGGACCGAGCCAAGGCAGCGGCCTCCCGGAGGACGAGGTTCGATCGGTTCGTGCGGACTTTCCACCGCAGCCGTTGCCGTCGGACGCTTTGTTTGGCGTGGTCAAGGTACTGCGAGGACGCCCGGTGCAGCTCTAGGCGCCTGTAGTCTTCTATGAGACTGGTTTCCTGCAGCAAACTCTCGTCCACATCCCGCTCCAAGTCTTCGTATTCAGCGTCGAGCGTCGCAATCTCGGCGTCATATTCTCGAATCTAGTGCAATAATCCATCAGCTAAATCGACGACACGAACCGACCTGCTGCTTTTTGCTCTGGATTTCTTCGGCGCTGAGCAACATGGAGAAGTGAATGACGAGTTTTTCTGTTTCAAACGCGGTTTGCCAGCCTCGGGCAATATCTTGGCCAGTCATATTGGACAGTTCCTTGTCCAACACTGGCACACGCAGCTCCCAGTCCAACTAGAACGAATCAACCAATCAATTCATCCAGATTCAAACGCTGTCGCAGAGATTCGTTCTTGTATCTGTAGTACCCGCATTTGCTTGAGGTCGTGGATCTGTTGCAACGACTTCTTTCTGTGCTTGGTCATGTACGCAATGTCGCCCATAGTGTCGGCCATATCAAACTGCACCATTTCCAAGTTGTCCTATCGATCAAACCAACACCAGCAACTTTAAGAGCACTGGTAGTGTTTGTTATATTGTTGTGATTAAACTGGAGAAGGATATCTACATGGAATTCACAAGAATCGGCACAAGGATGTAGCCAATCCGAATTGCAGGAAACCCTCATCAACTTCAAATTAGTGTTTGACTTTAATTAGTGTGATACCAATCCTCCCACAACACCTCTTTGACATACAAACTTTAGTACAAACAGCCATCGATCGATGATAGGTTTGGTGCGATTCACTGTCAGCACACAAAAGTCCAACGTTAGTAAAAGGACAATGTGCTTTCGAGTGACATTTCATTGTGGTTTCTCGTTGGAATTGAAATCGATTTGATTGGCTACCTCAGATAAGCTCAAAATTATTAGCCAATCAAAACCCATTTCTCAATGAAATTCAACCAATCAGATCGATTGTGGATCGGTTTGGTCGGCGCGATTCGATTGTCCCCAAATTTGTATCAAATCGACAATATATGACTGGTCATTTCTCTTCTACACACCTTGAGCGCCGTGAATTTACGCGCGTACACCTCAATCGCCATGAGTTCCCGCATCGATTGAATGGTCTTGCGGTTGAAATAGCTCCGCCACGCAGACTGCACCACCACCGCCGCTTGGCCGTGGCGACCTCGTTGCTTAGCTCGTTCTGCCTCAACTCGGAGGCGGGCAAAGTAGCTTCGGACCAAGCACTGCACCGTCAACGCTGCGTGGCTCTTGATGCGGTCGATCGAGGCGCGCCATACGGTCCGCTCGCCGGCTTCTTTTTGTTTTTGCCGCCAAAAGTGCTAAGTACACACGAGTCAGTCGTGTGTGTCAGGTGGTCGTGGTGGTCGTCGTCGTACCTGCAGCACACTCGCGGCCTCGACTTGATCCCGAAACTCCTCGAGATGTTTCCGCACCACAAAGCCGCGGTACACCCGCTGGATGGTCCGGGCGGCAGGGACTACCACCGTCCGCACCCGAATCTTGCGTACCTCCCGCTTGTACACTTGTCGGGCAAGGTACCCGCGCCCCGCGGCCCCAATCCGCGACGCCATGCGGTTCTCGAACCGCACCTACACGCAGCAAACTCATCACGACCATAAAGCCATATCATATCACTTGACCTGGCACACAAATGCCCACCGACGCCGCGCCTTGTACTTGCGGAATGTGTCTTGGATAACCAGCGCCGCGACTAGTTGCTTGCGTCGTTGCTTGGCCACTAGACGACCCAAATACCCCCGAGCCACCCGCTCAATTTGTATCGCCGCGGGTCTTTGAATCTTGTCGACAAAGTGTTGATGTTGAAGGCGTTGGCACTGCTTTCGTCCGACGTGGCCTCGATACACTCGCTGGATCAACTTGACGGCGGGAACGACCACCGTGCGCTTGTATTTAGCATGTCGATACATCGCAGCTCTCTACCATAGTATGATGATCTACTTTACTTTTCACATGGATACATACATATATGCTAGTAGTCCAAGAAAGAACGGGAAGGATATGATGATTCTGATATACGAACGACCTTTGCTTTACTTATGTGTTTATATTCTAAAACTGGAGAAGCGACATGGAGAATGAATGTATCGACACAAACAGAAGAATTTAGCCAATCAGATGGCAGGAAACCACCCACATCAACGTCAAATTAGTGTGTGACTTGAATTAGTATGATACACAACCACAGAAGAATGAATCGGCAGAGGATTTAGCCAATCAGATGGCAGGAAACCACCCACATCAACGTCGAATTAGTGTGTGACGTCAATTAGTATGATACACAACCAAATGTATTACAGAAGAAAGAATCGACAGAAGGATTTAGCCAATCAGATGGCAGGAAACCACCTACATCAACGCCAAATTAGTGTGTGACTTCAATTAGTGTGATACACAACCAAATGTATTACAGAAGAAAGAATCGGCAGAAGAATTTAGCCAATCAGATGGCAGGAAACTACCCACATCAACGTCAAATTAGTGTTTGACTTGAATTCGTATGATACGAATCACACCCTTTTACAACCAAATCATTCAGTACTACAAAGAAGAATCGACAAAGAAGAATCGATAGATTTGGCGAAAATCAGCGCAAAAGTCATCCAAATTTTGGGTAAAAGTAAGGCCATACCTGTCGCCCCATGAGACCCCGCGCCACGCGTTGGATTTGAATCGCACTGGCGACATGGAAACGTATCCAGAAGACCCACTTGCGCGCCTGGAAGCCCCGAAACACCCGCTGCATGTGCACCGCGCCCGCGGTCTTGCGATTCCGCAGCGATTTCGTGCGTTCTCGAGACGTATATGACCGAAACACGGCTTGAATGTGTGTGGACGCAAGCGACATGACGACGAACAGCTCCTGGACAAACACCCGAGCCACGTACCCGCGGTACACTCTTTGGATGGTCAGCGCATGGCGATGAGAGGCCAAGAGACGGCGGAGCGTCCGTGCCTAATATTGAGCTTAGCAATATATGCATGTATCAGGTACGAGTGTCCAGACCACGCAGTGGATGCGATACACGCGCTGCAGCATCATGGCCGCCGTGGAGCACTCGTGTTTGCGCTTGATAAACTTTTGGAGCATGGTCGCTTCCGAGTTGTGCTCGAGGTGGCTATCCAGCCAGCACATTATGATGGTTCAACTCGATATAGTCGAAATTGGAGACTTATATCGAATGACCAGCATCACCACATCGCAGGCAGACAATCGATACATCGACCAATCCAAACCCGCAACACGAATCAAGTGGCCAATCAAATCCACCCATTCCACATCGAATGAGTGTGTGAAAATGACATTTGAGTGACACTGGACGATTTTTTTACGTACAAAAGTTAGTATGTACAACGATCGATCGATAGATTTCAAGATATCAAGCGCAAAAGTCAACCCAATTTGGGGTTAAAGGACCATAAATGTCCAATATATATATATATATATATCATGCGTACGAGGACAGAGCGTCAAATGTGGCGGATGCGCGCTGGGCGCGTTGATCGGCGGCGATCATGGCTTTGAGTTCGATGGGCAGGCCGTGGTAGAAATGGGGCAGTTTGGATGACGTCGGCGGTGGTTGGTGTTTGGTCACGACCAAGCGCGTCACGTCCTTGGCTGTCGTCTTGGCCGTCGCCGGTACCCCGAGTGCGCGGTCGAGGCCATGGGACAGCCCCATGCGCTCGGTGAGGGGCAAGCTGTCCACGGTGGTGTGCACGGGGCGAAACTGGTGCAAAGTCTTGAGCACGAGCACCACATCGCAGGCCAAGTGTCGCAGGTGCGGCAGCCGGCGCACGCACGCCCCGACGGTCCCGAACTTCTTCATGCTGGACGGCGGTTGGTGGTGGTGGACGGTCGTTTCGGGTTCCGTGGGGGGAGGGGGGGGATGCCCGGAAGTGTGTGGAGGAGGATGCGCCAACGCGAGAAGTACTTCCAGCACCATATGCAAGCGCTCGGCGTGTGGTTTCCGCTGGAACGCATCCGACACGACGGTGATCTGGAGGCGGCAGTTCCAGCACGGCGGCAACGGATCCGTGGGGTCATTGGTGACGGACACGGGGTTGGACTGATCGCGGACTTTCCACGCGGCGTCGCATGCCAAGTTGGCCGCGCGTTCCGTCTCAAACGTGCCAATCACCACGGGCTTCAAGTTGGGGAACACGTCGACTGTCGTGGGCGAGTCTGGAAAGAGGGAGCGGGTGCTAGTTTGCGCGCGGTCGACCACTGCTTTGCGCCATGGGATGTCGTACATACACACGAGCCACTTCTTCGACGCCACGGACGTCGTCTTGTCGAGTTTGACGCTCTTGAACCAGTACCGGGCCGACCCAAGGAGTCGTCGTTGTAAGAGCTGGCAACTGCAGCCCATTATCAGCTTCAGGATGCCGCATCGACTTGGTTTAAGACAGACGAAGATGATTCCATGAACTACCTGATATTTTCCACGCGCGTGAATGCCGGCTGCAACAACGACGCCGTCAGCGCTGCTTCGATGCGCTTGGCGTAGACGTCCATGGGGTCTTCGCGCGAAGTGTCCTTCGCTGACGGAGTAGTGTTGCTGGCATGGTTTTGGCTGACGGACCGCCTCTGTGTTCCCCTTCCTATGTACACCCTCCTCGTTCGTTCAACTCATGCTCACGTCCCTCTGTCCTTACGTGAACCAGGCTTCATCGTCGCCGCGGTCGTGCCATCGATGTATCGCGCGTTTCGCCGTTTCAGCCCTTTCCCGGCATCCGGATAATAGTTATTCGGAAAAGGCAACGGATCATCATTCTCATTTTTGAACCGCCGATTGTTATGCCAGCGTGCGTGCATGTGATCACGTCGCGGGCCACTTCGAAGCATCGACGTATACGTATAGTACGTGGCCACTTTATGGTTGGGTTCACAGCCAGGTGCAGTGTATCGCATGTAGTAGTACTCGAGGAATCCATGTTGAACGCAAGTGTGTTCACAGTTCATGGGGTGAGGAGCTGAAGCACAACACCACCAACCACAATCAATCAATGCAAGCAAGATCAGAGTACAGTCACATGGCACTACTTCAAACACGTGTAGCCTTATATATACATCTTGATTTCGTTTCAACTACAGCACTAGTGACTGACGGGGCAATAGCCGCCGCCGAATCTCATATTCACCAAAGCCTCAAACCATTTCGCCACTCACATATGTCGTTTTGTATTAGCATTCGCCATGATAGCGGAGTGGGTACTGCGGTTGCGTCGAGTAGTCTGTGGACGAGTCGGACGGGGTCGTGGGTTGGGGGTGCTGCTGCCTCCAGTACTGGTACATGTCGCCGACAGTATCCTCTTCTTGCGGGAAGAACGCCACGTCCGTGTAATGGTCCGAGTTTCGAGGCACGCTGTACTGGCGACTATTCGAATGAACATGATGATGGGATACATCGTCTCGCGGCAGTTCTTGGGGGTAATAGTATTCCGACGCCGACAGTCGCGGGTGCAGGACGAAGTCGACGTCTGCATGATGGTGGTACTGACGAGGGGACAATTCAAATATGGCTGGCGACTGGTGGTGGTAGGGGTGGCGGTTAAGTGCGTAGTCGACTCCGTCTTCACATGACAGACGCGCCACTCCTCCATGCTGGTGCGAGCTAAAGCTGAGCTTGGGTAGCGAATGCAGATGCGAGTCGTGCCGAACATGATGATTGGGGCGGTAGCTGCTCACGGACCTTGGCAACGAGCTAGTGGCAAACGTCGCACGATGTAGTTCCATTTCGAGTCGGCGCATCCGCCTTCGTGTGATGCAGCACCACAGGACAATCCCCAGCACGAGAAGAGCCGCGCCGACACCGACGCCGACATACATCGCAGTGTGGGAGGCGGCGGACGATTCTGCTTGAACTTGGCCTGTGATGGTGATGGTTGTAAAGAGCGCGATGTCTAGCCGGTTGGACGTGATCACGGCGGTTGGCAGGGTCGTGGTGGCAAAGACGATGTACGTCCCAGGCGTCGATGGCAACTCCACGACGCTGGAAAACGAAGCCGACTTTTGCTGGAACGACTGGGCAAAGATGGGCGACGACAGGGGCTTGGCGGCGCCGCGGAAGGGCCGGCAATTCTCCTCCGCGTCGGCCTGGCAGTAGAACAGTTGGGACGTCGTGACGTTCTGTGTGATGGGATTGAGAGCAAACGCAGCCCAAGATGAAGACGCCGACGGGTCCAGCATCAGTAGTGCCCATGAGATCGTTGGTTTGGCGCCGGTAGCGTACGTTCGATTCACGTTCAGGGACACCCACACAGGACACGTGTAGCCGTTCCCTGTGCCCAGGACCCCGAAGGACGCCACATCCACCTGCGCGGCTGTCGTGGACGCATTGGATGCCCAGCAGTATGTCGTCGCGCCGTCCGCTAAGACACCACCGCCGACGACTGTCATCGAGTGTCGGTAATGGACGGGATGTTCCCTCTACTTCTGCTTCGGATGCAAATCAGTTAATCGAAATGTACCGTATTTGACATCTTGACCACGAATAGTACAGTACCGATTATATCGTGCACGATATAAAACATTCGGATAAATTCGAAACGATTGCAGCTGGTCCACTGATTCCGCATATGTAAGAACTAGCAATGCATACAAGTTTTAGTAAAGATGATACAAAACAGCATATATATTCCAATTGATAGAACTATGACGATATAAATCTGCGAAAATTGTATGCATTTTAGGACGATGTACTGCTCAATCGACATGCGACATTTTGAGTACCAACTAACGTTACAGTACCGTCCAGTACCATTGGTACAGCAGAGTGTAGAGATGCCACTACTGTACAGTACTGTATTTCTCCTGCTCTCACCAGACCTGCATTTATCCTTGTGGTTGAGCTGTGAAGTGTGACGACTATTACTGGAGTCCTTGTAATCCAAGGAATAATGCATAGAAACGACGTCGTCGTCGAATCGTATAGCGCAGCACAAAAACGAACAACTGCAAACCGTTAAAATAATCACAAGGAGAAAACACATTGTACCAGATGGAAGGTGGTCGAGGTATCGCTAAGGAGAAAACACATCCGGTCAAACAACCACTCTGGAAAACACCGTCATTCTCTGTTTGATGCGCGGTTTTGATTGGCCAGGGGATCATTTGAAGTTTGTATTGCATCATTATCCGAATAGTAGCTAAGTAACCGGATTGTTGTACCTTCGACAATGGAGCATGTCCTGCCGGTGACATCGCCGATCCCAAGTCCTCGACGAAGGGCGTACGTGAACAACCCCGTGGCGGCCTCTGATGTGTGGGGATTGACCAAGGACATGAACTGGCCGGCAAGTCGCGGCACTGTCACAGCTCTCCTCCCTGACCTAGTCGCGATGAACTTGGAGTTGTCGGCGTGCGCAGTCACACCTGGACACATTGCGCTCACGTTTCGTTACTCGGACACAGTGTCCAACTACTCCCTCGTGGTTGTGTTGGATGCGATCCCTGAGCAAAAGTTTGACCAGGTGTTCCAGATCGATCTGATCAAGGCGCTGTGCAGTCCGCCGTCGTCCGAGCTCCGATCCAACCACGAAACCTTTCGCTCCGCCAACACGGACATGCTCATCAGTCGCCATGAGAGCCCTGTCACCCACGTCGCGTTCCTTCGCTCACGTGTCGGTCATAACGTCAATCAACCGCAGAAAGTCCATCCCCTGCGTTGCGTCATCACCCGGGAAGACGGTGGCGCATATGTGTGGGAATGGGGTCACGACAAGTTTGACTGGACATACTTGAACAGCTTCAACGTATCCAACGAACCCGACGGCAGCGGCGCACCCTCCCCCCGCATAACCACCATGGACAGCTTCGCCGCCAGCGCTGCGTGCCATGGGCTGGCCTTCCATGACAAAGGGTCGTTGGCGGCATCTTCTTCCAAAGGCGGTGCGGTGGTCGCCCGCCTGGTGAGCTTTGAGACGACGCCGACGCTGGCGAAACATCCGACCCACATCATCGTGGGCTCGGTCGTGCCAATGCTACTTCCCCCTCCATCCTCGGTGCGGTGGATGCAAGGATCGCATGTTGGTCTGTGGATGGTCACGAATGACAACCACATTTACTTGCGCAGCTCGACGTCTCCCATGACTTTGCACACTGCATGGGGCGTATCTCAAAACCCCGCGGATAAAGTCGAAGAAGGTGCTGTGAACTCTGTCACAGAGACACCACCACCTGAGCTCCTTTTTCGATGCATTCACTCGACCACGGGGGCGCTAGTGACTCTACATCCACACACTGGACAAGTGTGGACTTGCCAAGCGCGCGACGGCGGGCTGGTTATCACGCCGTGCGCCTACCGCCTCGCCCTTCCCCAAGACCCGACCGATCACATCCGCCACCTTGCCAGCCACCGCCAGTTTCTGTTTGTATTGACCACCCATGCTTGCATTGTGTATGACGTGCATTCAGGTACAGAGGCGGCGAGAGTCGCGGCCCCCGACGCGGCCGCGTCCTTCTGGACGTCCGGGCCTGGGGGGGCGATGGGTCTCTGGAGCTGGAACGGGCTGTGGCGGCTCACCGTTCCCAGCGCCAAGCAGTACGCGCACTCTGTCGCATGTGACGATGTCACACAGTCTCCCGCCGCAGCGCTGCGCCACCTGCAGGACTTTGGGCCGAATCTTCAGTTTGACCAGGCGGCGATGGCACTTCAAGTGCTGCGGCACCCCCCGACAGCCTCGAAAGCCGCGCACACCGCCGCCAAGCTCGTGTTTGAAGCCGCCGCCGAGAGCCCCGCGTGGCTGCTGGCACTCGTGGCCGACCACGCCATCCCGTCGGCGCTAGAGGCCGACCTCTACAACCTTGTCAACCAACTATCCGTCGCAACAACATCCACCTCCTCTTCCCACCACCTTCGAACGACGCCCCTCAACTTGGAATCAATCGATCACCTTCGGGCGTGGCTCGATGTGCGACAGCGTCGGGCCGCGATCATCCACGACCTGTCGTACTTGACCCCTTCAACGACGACCGCCGCTGTCACATATCCGTCGTCGCTTGCCGCGTCCCAAGAAATCCTGCGCATGTCCGCGCTGCACTTGGCGTCTCTTGTGGCCGCGCTACCCCACGGCCGCAATCTGCTGACTCAACTGGAGAGCGTGCTGCTATTAAATCAACACGACCGGCCCAGTCACGTCCTGTTTCACGACGAGCGTGTGACCGCCGGCGAGAGCCTCCGCCACCCCGCGTACTTTGAATCAGTCGCGCGGCTCACGTTCCAGCACCGTCCCGAGGCGTTTGGCGCGCTCGTCCGCTCGATCGCGTCCGCCTGCCCTCGCGTGTTGACCCTCCGCGGCGTCGTCCGCCTCGTTCGATCACATGCCGATCGGGCCCTCGCCGCCGTCCTCCCCTTGCGCCTCCATCTGCTTGTCCAACCCGCCAGCGTCGACGCCGCCGTGCTAGCCTACACGGACGCCCTCGTCGCATCCCGCGCATACATGGAGGCACTGCAGATGCTTCTGCGCTTCCAGCTGTACGCCCGTGCCAAGCTCATGTTCGCCGAGCTGCCGCCGGCCGTGCAACCGACATGGTTCTGGCACCTCATCGAGCATGTCGTCTGCCACCTCGATGTGTTGCCCATGGACGAACTGGCGGCGGTCGTTGCTTTGAAACCTACCCATATCCCCAATGCAAGTGTACTGGCGGCACTGCATCGCGCGATGCCACCCAAGAAAGTATCGGTTCAGATGCTACGACCTGTGCTGCAGACACTTGTGGCTTGAGAAAACTGCATATTGGTTCATTTCCATGGCTACATGTGATTTCGACTGTAGCCATTCCCTCACAAGCATACAGCAGTGTAATTATGACACATATGTACACCGACATACATGTATGTGTATTTGGGTGCCTACTTTCGAGCCAAGTTGAGTACACTAAAGCGAACTGCTGGTGCTACCGAAGAACCCAGTTCATCGCTTTGGAAACGTTATGGCTTTTTTAGCTGGGGTAGGCTAAAAATGGTCGACAGAATCGACCGCTTGGGCGTGGCGTCGGCAGCGACGGATGGCGGCGGCGGCGGCTGGCGCGCTGGTTTCGGCATCTGGCTGGAGAGGGGGGGGGTGGTGCTGTTGTCCTTGGCCAGAATTTGCTGCCTCATCTTTTGGGCCATGCGATCAAACAGACTCAGCCCCGCTGCTTCGTCGTCGGATGAGTCGTCTGCCGGCTCCCAGTGCTGTTTCGCCGGCTTAGTCGGCTGGACAACCAACGGCGCCATGGCAGCATCGTCCTCACTGCTGTCAAGCGGCGGTTGGTCCGTGGTTGGCTTTTTACTTGGCTTTTTGGTGGATTTCTTCTTGATAGGCAACTGGTCCTTCTTGAGTACTTTTGCGTCTGCTTTGTGCTGCTTGGCTGCAGCTTTCTGATCTGCCTTTAGCTTGCGAGCCGCATCCTTCTTTCGCTGCAGTTCCTGGGCCGCCAGTTGCTTCATCATGCCAGCCTTCTTCTTCTTCTTCTTCTGTGGATCAGCATCCGACATGCCATCAACATCGTCCTTTGCTGGTGGTTCCACATGTTCAAGCCTGGCAACTCCGTTTTTCACTTGCATATCATCTTTAGATGAACCTGCTGCTGCAATGTTTTGCTTTTTCTGCTTTTTGACGACTGAAATTGGTCGCTCGAGCGGTGCCGCCTCGTCGTCGGTCGCCACTTGCAGCTTTTTCCGCTTCTTGGCAGGTTTCGACTGCGTAGTCGAGATGGATGTGTCAGGGGTGGTCGTGGTGGCTTGGTCCGCTGCTTTCGACGGTGCCGCTTTCCGCTGCACTTCTGCCCTTTTCTCATCCGCCTTGCGCTTCATACGTTCGTCTTCTGCGGCTTGCTGTGTTGCAGCGACTTCCCTCTCGACTTGAGCAGCTGCTTTTTCAAGTTGCCGCTGTCGCCGGTCGTCGGCTTCCACGCGGCGAAGGGCGGCGTCGTCGTGCTGTTGTTTCGCAGCCAGTTCTTTAGCAACTCGCAGCTTTTCCTGCTGCTTTTGACGTTTCTTCGCAGCTTCGGCTTCCTCCATTTTGTGCTTCTCCTCGGCCATCTGTTGCACTTCCTTGTCCCGCGCCTCCTGCCTGGCCAGGCGAGCCACCTCGGCTGCATGCTCCCGTTCAGAGCGAAGACGTTCACGCTCGTCTCTCTCCAGTTTCCGCTGTTCAACTAAAGTGCGGTCCAACGACTCGGCCAGCGCTATCGCCGCACGCCCCACCACTCGTCGACGGTGACGCCGCCGATGCTCGTCCAGTGAATGCTGCAGCTCAATGCACTTGAAGTCCAAGGCCACCCTTTCCATGTGGCATTCCAACTCCTGCCTCTACATAGGTGGTGTCAGCATGCACGGGGTGCGTCTTTGCATGCGTATATGTACCTCAATGGCAGCTACATCCGCCGCCAAAGTCTGCGTGCCCATGCTGGCCTCGTGGTTGTTCTGTAAGGAATATCCGGATAATGTGAACATCCGGATAAAATGAACTCGGAAGACGAATCGTGTTTATCTCTCATCCAAAGTGGAGCTGAATCTACGTCGAGGTGGCGGCGAGGAGGTTGAGCACGTTGACGTCTTCGACGAAGAAGTCGGGTCTCTGGAACTCGTCGGCGATCGCGGCTTTCTCTTCGTACGATGTGCATCCGGTCATGACGAGCAGTGTATAGAGACCCCCACGGCGACCAAACTCAATGTCCGTAGACAAGCGATCGCCGACCTAAGCGTAGAGGCCATGTTGGCGTCCAACGTATGCGATCAATCATCTCTACCATGCAGGTGCGCGATGGGTCCAGGGAATGCGTGGACAGGATCGTCTGGAGAAGCGCTTGGTTGGGCTTGCCGATGATCGCGTCCGGCTCGCGACCCACGGCCGTCTGCAACGCCGCCACACACGCGCCACCGCCAGGCAGAATCGCACCATCCGTGGGGTACGTCGGGTCACTAAACCCAGGGAAGGTGTCAGCAACATATATATATATATCGATACGACGAAAACGTACTTGTTGGTCGCGTAGAACTTGCAGCCAGGGTTTTGCAGAATACACGTGGCAGCGTACGACAGCTTGTAATACGAAATGCCTCTACGCACCAACATATGAACCTGCTGCCAAATGGCCACGAATGTCCAATGGCCTCAATAGATTTCCGACCGATCGAGCCCAATCACCACGGCGCCGACGCTCGGGTCGACCTGGAATGGATGCGGCAACGTCGTCTTTCCGTTGTCTTGCAAGCCAAAGTTCTCAAAGCCTTGCGCCGACACTTCCGTCGCCAGCCCCGCCTACACGAAACCACCGTGTCGTGCATGTATTTGAAGAAACAAAATGGATCTTTACGTACTTCGCCAACCACGTACACTTTTCCTTGTACGTTGGTCTTCTTGAGGTAGGCGGCACACGCCGATGCAGATCTTCAATGCATGAGCGAGGGGTAATGAGGGAAGAAGGATATGGCGGTGTGGACGTACGTGACGATGTCGTCGACAACGGCAGGAATGCCTTGACCCGCTACAGACACACAGTATGAGAAGGACGAGAGGTGGAGAAAGAGCTGGGTTACCGAGCTTGGTGACGTAAGTGTCGCGGGACTTGGTCGAGTTGTTGGTCTATACGTCGCTGTGTTGGACATGAAAGGCGGATAAGCATACGTACCACAAAGATTACTTTCTTCCCTCGCGCACGGAGGAGCGCAATGGCTTCCTTGGCACCGACAATGGCGGCGTCACCTCGCCACAACACTGTCGACAGACAAACACTCAGATTCGATATCGAGTCAACGCGCACCTCCATCGCAGTCGAAGAGAAACGCGTCGAGCTGGTTAAGCCACGCATCAAAACTGGTCGAGTTCAGGTGGGGAATTGCGCGGGTGCTGGTCATGATACTGTGTCCACGGCGTCGAAAGGCTGGCAGGAGGTGCTTCTTGACGATGCTGCAAAACATCAAACCCCATAGCCTGAAGCCACGACGATATATCACGACCAAGTATAGCTGGATATACTGCTGAATATTTAGGCATAGTACTTCGAAGTATTTTTTAATCCTGATTTATCATTTTGCTATGACTCTACTCAAATACTCTAAGGTTTGACTCAAATACACTTGTATATTTTATATGATGTCGTCCGCCCTTGTCAGCTTACCTGAAAACACCAATCACATTGCAAGTACATCCGGATGCGACCTTTTGTTCCGGTTGACCTGGAACCATTGAAGCAAGACTACCACCATGCTGCCAACGCTGCAAGTTCGCGAGGATGCTGTGCGAGGCCGCGGACTGTTTGCCACAAGTCCCATCGAGGCAGACACAGTCGTGCTTCGTGATGAACCTATCGCCGTGGCTTCCATGGACGCGCCGAGAATGACGTGTGAGGTATGCAAACGGTTTGTCGGGTCGATCCAGCTCCACCTGCATGTATTAGCCGAACACGTCAAGCCGGCGGTCGAGGAGACCGATCCAGCGAAGCCGTCGTCTGCCATCACACTGCTTCCAACCATGGAGGACGAGCCTTCCTTACCGAACCTCCCATCTCCAGTTGTGCATGCCTACGTCACGCAGTACCCTACTGCCGCCACACCTTCCATCGTGTGCTCACAGACCTGCAGCGACGTCGTACATGCCCAAGCTAAGCACATCTTCGGACCTTCGTTGGTCGAATCCATCGCGGAAGCGGCGTCGCCATGGGTCGACTCGGACCACATGATCCTAGTGGCTGCACTCATGGCCACCGTACTCCATCGCATCTCCCGCCAATCCAAACTAGATTGGGACGATGCTGTTCGCGACATCCTCCACTTGTGTGTGGCTCCTCCAACCACGTCCAAGACCTTCCAGCATGGAAATCTAAAGCAAAGCGCGTTCCGCGCCGTCCTCGCGGCGTTTGAACCCACGACGCCCACTCGATCCCACGACTACTTTAAAGCGCACATGACACTGGACATGTGCCAGCACTTCGTGGCCATCGTCCAAGCCAACGCCGTGGGCGTCCAAGTGCCATCTCCGCTTTCTCGGTACTTCGCCTCTTGTGAAGACAATCCAGCGACCAAACAGACACTCGTGATGCACGCGTCGACATTGGTGGAAGCCGCACTTCAAGTGCTTTGTGAAGATGATCAAGATCATAGCGATGACGACGAAGAACAAGGTAGCAGTGGTGACGAAAGTGCAGGTGACGAAACGACAGACCAGGTCGATGGCTCGGAGGAAGACGGTGAAACGATTCAGTTCGAGTGGTGTCGAGGGGATGTTGCAACTTCGACCAACGGGCCGCTAAGGTTTTCATCCAGCGCCCTGCCCGACCTCGGTGGTCTGGCGCTGTTTCCCCGCTTTTCCATGCTCAACCACTCGTGCGACCCGTCAGGTGCCCTCGCGTACCTTGGAGACTCTCCGCAGATCTCGGTCTTCGCCCTAAAAGCGTTGGCGCCAGGAGATGAGGTCACGATAGCCTACATCGATACCAATATGTCCTTTGAATCACGGCAAGCCGAGCTCCAAGCTCGATATGGGTTTACATGCACATGCAGTCGATGTGCTCTCGACAACATGCACAGGACCAATAAAAAAAATGCCAAGACATCCAAGCCAAAACGACAGCGAGTAGCCTAGCTTGGGCAATACTTTATACTACACCATTTTGCAGTTAAGTTGGACGAATGCCCGATACATTTGGCCGAGTCCAGATATATTTGGTCGTGTCCCCGATATAATTAGACATGCGTCCGCTTAATTTGGCACACGGAGGTCGTGTGCCCGATATAATTAGCCGTGTGCCCAAGTAATTGGCCATCTGCCCGATGAATTGTGTCGTGTGTTCGAGGCTAGCGCGTATCAATTCAAATGGTTAGCATCGACCCCTATATAGCCAATTTCAAGCAGTAGTGCTTTGCTTTATCCCGTTGGCGAACGCTACGGATTTCCAGTCCTCGTCGTTTCAGAACGCTGCGACGACTTTTGCTTCCGGAGAAAGGTATGCGTTTGTAGGGGTCTCGTGACTACAGAGGGGGTTATCTAGTACTTCAATTGACATCATTACTGGTGTTCGCGGGGGTGCAGCTTCGTCCATGCTGTGCGTTCCTTGACGATTTGAATAATGAGCATTCAACATGTTTGAGGAAAGCGCGTCGCGTTACGAACTTCAACTATACTTTATTCAAGTATAAATTTCGAATTCTTGCCTTTGCGCGTGTCCTCCGACTTTCAGCCCCATGATGATTCCACCAAAACTGATTTACACTGTTACACTCAATTAATTATTTGAGTTATTCCAATTTCATCGGGCACACGACACAATTCATCAGGCAGATGGTCAATTACTTGGGCAGATGGCTAATTATATCGGGCACTCCGCCGAATATATCGGGCACACGACCTCGGTGTGCCAAATTAAACGGGCGCATGGCTAATTATATCGGGCACACCACCAAACATATCGCGCGCACGGCCAAATATATCGGGCATTCGTCCAACTTAACTGCAAAATAGTGTAGTACTAGGTTCATAAGTTACAATTCTATTCAATAAATACGTCGGTCGCTATACTTGTCTACGTGAGCCCGAGGTCGACGAGCGAAATCGGATCGTCCTCTATGAGTTGGGCCACTAGCTGCCTCAACTCCTCGTCGTCGGCGTCCCCCGTCAGCTCTGTGAAGCCCCCCCCGCGACTGCTTAGGTCCCCCACCAGTGGCAGCAACACAGACTGCAGACGTTGCCGGGCCTGCCGCTGCGCCCGGGGGTTGTTGATAAGCATAAGTCTGTACACGTCCAAGAGGATGCCGACAACTTCAGTCCCCCCGTCCTCTTCCCCTTTTTCATCTTCGATGCAGTCAGTTTGTTCTTCCCAAGCGGCAGCTGCCTCGAGCTCTCCTTCTTCTTCGCCTTCCCATGTTGTCGTCGTTTCCAAAACATCACTCGTCGTCAAGCCTTTGTCTTCGTCGTCGCTGTTGTTGCTGCCCCCAACTTCCCCGTCGCTGTCGCTCACTTCGTTGGTTTTTATTCGACGCCTCGACTGGGGTTGTTGCGTTGATGGTCCGTCGTCGCGTGGGGTCATCCACTTGGTCGCTAGCACTTGGGCTAAGTCTCGCTGGATGGCGCCAGGCAACAAGTCTACGCAGTCCACAAACGTCCCAGTGGTCTGGCATCGGTAAACCACAAGGTCGTTCCATTGCTGGGCCAATGACGTCAGATCCAACGGCTCGTCTGTTGAGGGAGGATTCCAGTGGGTGGTTGAAAGCGGCTCGCTAGATGGAGCCAGCACCGGAAGAACTTTGTCCGTTGTGGCTGTGCGTTGTGAAGAGTGATCGGACGGGGGGGTCATAGAATGGACAGCTGGAGGCGACTGAATGGGTATCCTGTCGACGTGGAGCCTGTGATCTCGCCAGTCTGCGTGCGGGTCGTGGGTGTCGTAGATGGCATGCAGCAAGGTGTGCACGACTGCGTTGGCCATTCCTGGTGTCAACGGAAGCATCTTGAACATCATCTACGGACCGTGTTAGACAAACTCGAGACGTGTGTGATTCCTACCTCGGAGACGAGGTCCATGGCAATGGCCGTTCTCGTCTTGGTCGACAGCTCGGAAGCCGTGGGGTCCACAAATCGTTCGTACAGCGACTCGACTTGATTGTCACTGCATCACAACACAACCGCTGAGTCAATCGCCGTTCCCAACCAACAAAAACGAGGAATCCGCACACACACACACTTCGCTTCAATATCATCTAAGATCGACAAGCACAGCAATAACGGTGTACTGTACTACCTCGACACTTGGGTTCCGTCATCATCGTCGCTGTGGCTGTCGGTGAGCACCGCCGCCCATTTGTGCAGCGTGGACTGGACAAAGTCATACCCATCTGGCAACGAACCGAGGACAGGTCCAGCTACAAATGGCGTTCCTGTCGCTCTCTCGTCGCCGTCACCCCCTCGTATGGCTTCGTTCAGAATCACAGACGAGGCCGTCGGCACGGGAGCAACTTTGCTAGGGTGTCGCTTGGCGATGGATGCTTCGTGTTGGTGCTGGATGTTGTGTGGTTGAGGCTGGCGGTGGTGGTGCTGCTGCTGCCGTTTGCGGTCCTGGGGCCGCCTTGCAGAAGTCCCGCCGTGGAGTATGGCGTTCTCCACCCGCACATCGGACGTTGCCGCCTCCATGCTCAGACGCTTCGGAGGTTCTAGCGGAGTATAATTCGTAACGGTGAAACCTCCCACAAAAGGTGACATGGCGGTTACGTGATGCGGGGGACAGACGGTGACATACTACTTTCATGCCCCACCCTCCTGGAAAACTTCATCATCCCGATCGCTGTGAGAGGGAACATCAATCAATCCACTAATATGATGGGCAGCTCGAAGCGGTACTTCTGCAACGAATCATGTTGTTGGTTGCTAGCTAAACACTACATTTGTAGCCTCATCAGCAGAGGCGGGTCGACGCTGTCTGCAGACCAGCGGGTAATACTACGCTTACCCTTGTGGGTTGGTGATCATCTGCTAGCGACCCCTGGAGCTTTATCCTTACCCCTTGTGCGATATGGCTGGAATTATGATCACGGTTCTGTATCTCTCATCGTAGCAAGAAGAGTTCATTCGCCTCGAACTTGCTCGAAAACGCAACACCAAAACGGCGTCCACCGAAGCCAAGCTTACGTCGCGCGGGCTCCGGCGGTCTGGCCGCAAGTCGACGCAGCAGCGGCACCACGAGTTCCTGCTCGCGCCTGCGAACCGCCCGCGAATTGAAGCTATCGTCGCGCGCGTTTCGGGGGTTCTGGCGGCCGTGCCGTACTCAACCGACTTTAGCCAAGACGACAAGGAGTACGTGTCCCACCGATTCAAGCGTTGTGTGAACGATGGTGGTGTATTAGGTTTGTGCTCAATTGGGTGGATGAAGTGGACATGATCTTGACGGCGTTCATGCCCTGTGAGGACCCCCGCCGGGACCCCCTCGGTCGGATGGTGGACAAGCTGTCGTGGGTGCAGCACTCGTACACGTGTTTGGCCGAGGCGGGGGTCGACGCCAAGGCGCTGGTGGCGGCGTGGGAGCGGGACGGCGTGTTCGACTCGGACGGGAGTGACGACGACGATGGCGACGACCAAGGGGGTAATCACTTGACGGTGCAAATCTCGTTTGACGACATGGAAGCCGACTCGGAGTTTGCCCGAAAGGTAAGGAACACTTAAGACAATAGCCCAACACGTCGTGGTATCTGATACGATGCTGATTCGATGCTAGTATGATATCTGATTCTACGCTTGTTGGTAGGAACGGCTGGTGCGACGGAAGGCGGCTGCTCGCATCATCCGCCGCAACGTGCACAACGGGTCGGCTACAAGTTACTGGAGTCAGCACGTGGAGGAATTTCGGTTGTTTGGTAACACGTTTTACAAGAACATTGACACGCCACTGGTCAAGGCGCAGACGAGTCGACTGCTCACGGACGAGGCCAAGGCGGCAGCAGCAGACGACAAACTCAACGAGGTACACCGCCATAGCAACTTTGCGAGCCACTAGTGCAACTTGCGTTTAAATAGGGGTTGGCAGGTCGAGAAACGCGACTCAAGGAAGTGATGCACCTCGCCCAGCACGTGTCTACGTTCAAAGTCGACGACGCCATTCGGAACGTGGGAATCGCCATTCAAAAACGACGGCTGCTCGAGAATCGGTGTGCCGTCAAGCTCCAGCTCAAGTGGCGTGCGTACAGAGGGGGCAAAGTCAAGATGATGCTGCTCTTGGAAGAACTAAAGCGCCGGAAAAGGAAAGCCGCGGCCAAGGGGCTACGAAAGCAGCCCAGCACACACAATGAGATAGCACCTCCTCTTCCCAGGCTCAAGACACCCGAACCCCAACGAGTTTCAAAGGAGGCCGTGGTGCCACCACAGCTCAAACCGCAGACTCCCCCGACGTCTTCGCCAGTAGTCACACCACAAACCCCGCCAGCTACCATCAAGCCCAAGACCCCAGACAAATCCCCGCGAGCGTCCGGTCGAATGCGGCCATCACGGTCCGTGGAACCGACGACCGCCCCAGCCGCCGACGTGGCACCGGCCACCCCCACCAAATCACGACCCACGGCGCCGCCACCGTCGACAATGCTCAAGAGCACTCAAGTGGGTGTCATAGGAGGACGCAAGGGCAGCATCTTGGGCTCGCTCGTGTCTTCCTTGGCTGACGAGAAGCGGCAGCTGGATCTGCAGCACATGAAAATGCTCATGGAGGCGACTTTGCCCAACGACGTGGACGATGATGAGGACGACGACACCATCCAGCCATTGTCCAACCGGTCGAGTTCAAAGGAAGAGTCTGACGATGGGTTTTCCCTCGACCAGGGAGAATCGAGGATGGAAGGACGAGGTGACAGGGAACAGATAGAAGACGACAAACCAGTAACAAACGACCCCACTGTTGAGCGAGACGACACCACCGACGGGACTAGTGCGCAGAGGAGGAAGTGCAGCGTCGTAGCCCGACCGAGTGTTTTTTTACAAGACTCCACCGCAACCGATATCACCACCATCGCAATTGGACGACGAACTAGTCGCATGACATCAAACCTGTCGATGGTGTCGGGAGAGTTTGGAGAACCATCAGAGTCGAGTGAAGCCGTCAGTGGTCAAGTGAATGCAACGAAGGGGGACACGATGGAGATTGCAGGGGGAAGTCGCGACGACGACGACGACACCATCGAAGATGACGACGAGGACGTTCGCTTGTGCATGGCTTCGTGGGGACTTGATGAAAACGGGGCCGAGTCCCAACGCCGGTTGGAATCCAAGCTCAAGTCCCCTCGGGCATTGAAAAAGTCTGCGCTGATGGTCGTGTTGGCCAACTCGCTTCGAAAAAACAAGGAGCGGTCGGCAGGGTTGTTCAAACGGGCGGACGACCAAAGCAGCAGCAGTAGTTGCTCCATGTCCGACGACGACGACGAACGCTCGATACATGTAATGGTCCGTCCATCACGATATCACCACGACCTGTCGACGAGTCGGCTGTGTTCGTTTGGGGGGTTGAATTTGCAGCTGCGCCGCACCGCCGCGCATGCAGATATCGTGCGCCAGTGCGTTCCGTTCATGGAGGAGGAGCAGGAAAGACGTACCATTGGTAGCAACACTTCTACTTATTTACCGCCAGACGAGGATGCAACAGAGTTGAGGACGGCAGGGGGCAGTGGCTCGACCCCCTCCCGAGACCCTTTGCCCCCAAAGTCCCCCCCTCGAATACTACCAGCAAATTTTGCTTGGTCGCATTCTTGTGCGGACTCGACGTTGTCCTTGCCTCGGCTGCCAGAGGCTGTACCCCCAAAGTTGGAGACTGCATACGTGGCACTACCTGGTGGCACCACGAGAACGACGTTGACATTGCCGTTGGCATGGAAAGACCAAAAACGAGTTCACACAGCTGGGGCTGTGGATGGGCATCCGCAACTCAAGCGTTCCAATATCGAAGCCGCAGCAGGCGGGATGGTCGATCGACGAATACATGGCGTATCACTACAGAAACAACCACGAGCTAAACACTCCAATCGAAGGAACCGTTCGAATGTAGCCACAAACAAGTGGAGGACAACTGACGCGGGAGATCCAGGCAAGAGTCGTCGCACTTCCCGCTTGACCAGTAGGATGCCCCCACTATGAATGCGAGCGATTTAGTGGCTTTGTAGATTCATTGCCGCCAACCCAGTTTGTCGCCCCTCAGCCGTCGAGGATAACGGTCACACCGCGAAAGGCGGCCCCCCTTCACCCGCCCCCCCAGCCAACCGCCAAGCCCCCATCGACCCCCCAGCCAGTGGCAGCAGTGGAAGCAGCGCTGTCCAAGCACATTAAACGCCTACCGGGGTCGTCTGTAGCAAAAGACCCTTTGGAAGCTACTATGGCCGCGTACATAGGCATGTTGTATGTGTCGCCGTCATCTAGGAGGCCCCCATAGCTTAGCATCATACCAATGTTGTCTAAATATAGAACACAATCATTTTATTCCTTCGAGATGACCCGCGATGTATTGGCAGGGCTCGATGCCGACGGGTGTGGTATCCTGCAGTACGTCGGCGTTTGGTCTTAGTTCGTCGGCCTGGTCTATGGCCCATGTTAATCTGTTTGTTGTAGCTACGCGTCGGGCAACGTACTGGCAGTTGTGAGTCGAGTGAATGGCGGCAAGTATACCCAACTATTCGACGGTACACAAACAGTCGAAGCCACGAACAACCCGCTGATATATTATGTTTGTATGACCAAAGATGCAGAATCCAACAGCGCCCATGTGCAGCTGCTCGCCGCGTTCAACTATGCTGGCATCGGGTTTGCCAACTTTCGATCCGGAGCTCACCGACTGGTGACGACCAAACCGGGGGTGCTCGTGCTCCACGAAGACGGATCCATGGCCCAGGTACGTGCTGCCACGTGTCGACCTTAATCCCACGACGTCACATAGGAATATCCATGGGGGAAGGCGTCGCCAGACACGCCGCTGCCGTCGCCCATCGAATTCAACTTGAATGCGATCCTGTCGTTTCGGTGCACGAGCAAAGCCAACATCCAAGTGACATTGCAACGGGACGGCCATTTTGTACGAGTAACAACCCCCTAAAAGCCTCTGATCCATTGTACTAGGTGTTTGAGCTGGGCCACACGGCGTCGCGATACGACACTTACCTGAGCAAAGTGCTGCACCAACGCGTCGACGGATCGCTCGTGTTAGACATCCACCCCCCGACGCTCATCCAGCGCCAAGTAGCGTTCCAAGTACGTCCCATAACACATGCCAGAATGACAACCCTCGATATGATACCGCCGTCGGCCGTAGGTGACGGACCCCGTGAAGAAGGCTCAACGCCACAACTGGGCGTTGCCCCGGCTGTCCTCCAGCGGACGAGAAGCAGAGCGAGTCCGGCCGCGGGAGCATTTGCAGACGGTTCTGGACACGAACAACGCCCTGGTGGATCGGTTGAATGCGTACGTCAACTGTTTATTTTTCAAGGAGTCATTCGAGCAGTGTTGCCAACGGTGAAAATGAGTAGGTTCACGACTTGCATCACGGCGAATGTGGCCGCGGAGTGTCATCGGCAGCGCCAGATCCCATCCAAGAGCTTCTACTCGCCCATTTCAAAGCCGTGCTTTGTGCCCCGGGCCAAAGTGAAGCGGCCGATTGTCATGTCGAAGCACCTCCCACGGCTCCACCCACAGCATCTTGATCGATTCCTCTCGACTGTCAAAAGCACCCAGGTAGTCATATAGGTCCTCATGTCCATTTGGTAGCTGGAACTCATCCTTATTATAATTGGGTAGCTCGTCGTTGTGCTATGCTCGAACTTGTCCACGTCCGACTGCATCGCCGCTGAAAAGATGCTCGCCAAATTTGAACACGATTGGGCAGCGGAGGACGACCTTATCGCAGCGACAAAGTAAATATGGTATCCAAACGTGTTTTGTTGAAGTTGGATGTAGGCCGCCGGTAGTCGCCCCTGTGGTTCCCGTACCAGTCCCTGACACTACCCCTATCCCCAAATCACCAACGAACAAGCCCGGAAAACCCAAAAGTACCCCCACAGGTCCTGCTGCTCCCAACCCACCACCCACTACACCTGGAGCCAGCACCGACGCAGTTGCTGCTGTCCTAGTACCAGTGACTAGTACTACTACTAGTATGGAGATCACGTCATTGTCCAAAGTCTCCAGGGCAGATATTGATCCTGCTCCCGAAAGAAGTCAGAGCACCAAGCGCATCGTTCTCGTCGACTGCTCCACGTCGACCCTTCTCGCGCGGTATGTATAATGCCTTTGGAGCTGTTTACTCGAGAATGTTGACACGATACTTTAATGAATGGCTCCATCAGGCGGCATAACTTTAGCGTGTATCCAATGTACTTGATGTACTTTGGAGGCCAGTTGGGGTTCTGCTCCAACACGTTCAACGGGTTTGGCCGCACGGACGTGGACTTTTTACTGCAGGTGCGTTGGAGCTGTTGACACTTAGCAAGTTGCTGACGCATCGATATGTCAGGTGAAAACAACGCTAAGGAATTGCCAGCGCAACATTTTTCTCCCACCCACCTTTCGGTTTCCATAACGATAGAACTCTAAAAGCTGTGATCAACACGTTTGCCACAACAAATTTGCACATTTGTGGTATTTAAACCAGAACACGAGCTCGACGCATCCTGGACGTTGTCATGTGTATCAAGGCGACTGTAACGTTACCTACAGCTTATGATTGCCCTCTGCCACATTTGAGTTGTTGGCTGGTTCAACTATACGGTCGACTGACTCGGCACACTTTCCACTCCATTGTGACGCTGCCCGCTACATCCACAAGCTCAAACGCCACCTGTCAAGATCGCGTAAGCCACCGGTCGGCAATGGTGTTGTAGTAACTTTTCTATAACTGTCACAGTTACAGCCATGACATATCCGGATACGGATGTTCGGATTTTTGGCCCGTTACTCCTTTCACCAGAAAAACACAGCGCGATCATGGTGGAAGTCGTGGTGCTGGAAGGGTACCTTCACAAGCAGGTGCGTGCGACGGCATGACAAGATGGCTATATCAATGAAGCACTCTTCGTCGTCTAGAGCAAGCATCTGAAGCTGTGGAAGATCCGCTACTTTGTGTTGGCCGAGGTATTGAAAGACCACAGTTTGCCACCCCTCCAACTCCACCATCTTGTGTAGTGGACCTTGTCGTACAGCAAAAAGTCCGGGAAGAAGGCCAAAAACTCGTACGAGCTCAAGGACGTCCACGTGGTACCATCCGATGACTGCTGCTGTATCGCTCTAGTCTCATGTGTGATCTTAGATCCCCGACCAAAACTACGTCGTCCACGACCACAACTTTGTGTTGGACGTCCAGTATGGCCATGACAAGCACATGTACTTGAGCGCACCGACCGAATCGGAGCGGCTCAAGTGGACACAGGCCATCAAGGCCACCCGCGGGAAATGTACGTTGCTCCCGCGTTCGTCGGCAACTCTGACCTCCTTGCACAGGGTTGGAGTTAACCAGTCCAGACGCCACCGTCGACGGAACCAAACTCCCCCGCGACGCCGCTTCGTCTGCATCGTCGTCGGGCTTCTTCGGCCACCTCTTTCAACTGCCAGACTCGTCGGCCTCGAAATCCAAGCGCATGATGCGAAAGAAGCGCCACGCCACCAAGGAGCGCAAGGACGAGCGGAAGCGGGCACGCATGGCCAAGATGAAGAAGCCCTTCGGAAGCATCTGGCTTGAGGATGTGCTCCCGCACTGGGGGGATGCCGCAGCTCTGCCGCCGCACATGGTGGAAGCGCTGTGCTTTGCAGGTTCTCAATGGGCATCATCGAAGTAGATGAAAAGGAATAGTATTACTAGTATTGTGTTGTAGGCATTCCAAAGGAACTACGCGGCCGCGCGTGGTCGGCGATGCTCGGGAATCGGCTGCAGATCAACGAACAACTGTTTGACATTTGCCGGTCAAGGTACTACTAGTAGTAGTCCATGCATGGATAGTAATACTAGCCGTGGCACCACAGAGCCAAGGCGGTGCTGTTGGAAATGCATTTGGTCCAGGACAAGGATGAAAAGTGCCGATTAGAGTCACTCGAACAACACAAGGAGCAAGTAAACGGCCAACGAAACCACCAAGTTGCTGAGCAACTGCATCACAACTCGCGACCCCAGCTGACCCTTCCTGTCCACCGTCCCACCGACGATACCCCCCTCCCGTCGTTATCAGCCAATGAAAAAGCACCAGTCGTTGCAGAGCCACCGACCAAAGACATGCCGAGCGTGGCTGAGCAACTCATTGCCGACAATGAACGCAACATCAAGCTCGTCCAACGAGACATGCCGAGGACATTTGGCAACCACCCGCTGTTTCAAGATGGCGCGGCGGGGACCCAAAAGACATATGATGTGCTCGAAGCGTACACTTGCTACCGCCCAGACTTGGGGTATGTGCAAGGTAAGGAGTACAGTCAGTCAGTCAGTGTCGTCGTGATGAGAAGGACGTGGATGGAGCGATCTTGGGATACGTCGTCTGTACATGCATATATGACTAGGCATGAGCTACTTGGCTGCGATTTTGTGTCTGCATCTCGACAGCTTTGGCGCGTTCCGGGCGATGGTGTCGCTCATGAGCACGCGACTCATGTTTGACATGTATCGTCTCGAGGAGGATCGGGTAGAGACGACTGCTGCTGCTGTTGTTTCTCCATGATGGTACCGCAGGTCTCATGCAACAACGATATGTAGACGTTTCTGTACCTAACCGTGTACGACACTGTGCTCAAGCACGAGCTGCCGACATTGTACAGTCATTTCCAAGAGATCGGCATGGATCCCAAGATGTACGTGGTCGATTGGTAAGTTCACGTTTAGCATCTAGGACGAGGGGGAATGTATGATGGAGGAAGCGCAGGGCATTTACGTTGTTTACGCGGTGTGTGCCGCTCGAAGTGGTGTTGCGCATCTGGGACTGCTACATCTACCTCGGCACGCCCTTCTTCTTCCAAGCATGCATGGGTACGCATGTGCATACTTTCATTGTTTCATGTGCATGATGGTGCATAGCCATCCTCGTCATGTACGAAGACACGTTGCTCACGTTGGACCTCGGCGATGCGATGAAGTTCCTCCATAACGTTCCCAAGGTGCGCTCGATCCTCGATTCGCACACGTGTATGACCGCACAACCATGTAGTCTTGCTCCCCCCATGACTTCTTCGAGGCCATGGATACCGTCAACCTTTCGCGACCTGCCATCAACGCGCTCCTTGCAGGCGGCGACGTCCGGCCTTGGTCTCCAGTCGGGAAAAGGTCGATTGAAGTTGAATATCCGGAAGCGTACGAGTACTGATCGTACTAATAGTAATACTATGTACTTCGAAGTATTAATATTAATAGTACTACAGTTACTATAGTAGTACTATTAATAGTACTACGTAGTACAGTACAGTACTCCGGAGTAGTTGAAGTGATGTTAGTAATACTAGCAAGTGATTTTTTGGTCAGAATTATCCGGAACAGTGTCCTGTATTACTCACCTAACTTGCTGCTGTCAACAAAACACATCGGGAGAGCATCTTCGATCGATCATGGGCTGCGCCAACTCGTCATCGCAGCGGATGCCGGTGCCACCATCCCAGATGCATCCTCCTCCATCCTCGTCACCACCGCCATCTGCAGACCATCCACTGTCGGTTCCAGACAAGATGATTATGGGGACAAAGCCATTGCCTGCGTACACATCGTCTTCGTCGCCGGACATGTTGCCGCCGCCACCACCCCCACCGCTGGAAGACTACAGTCCTGAAAGTCCTACATGTGGGTACGGCATTGGTTTCACCGACCAGTACAAGCTGGGTGAGACTCTGGGCACGGGTAACTTTTCCGTCGTCCGCGAAGCCCTGCACAAGCCGTCAGGGCAGCGATACGCGATCAAGTGCATCAAGAAGGGCGGCCTCTCCAACGACGAGTTGGAAGCTTTGACGACCGAAGTGGCCGTGCTCAAGCAGGTTCAGTCACATGCATCCACACTCTTATTCATTTTGCATTTGGTTGCAGATGAAACACCCCAACATCATGATCTTGCACGACTTTTTCTCCGAGCCAGACTATTACTACCTTGTGACAGAGTACATGGACGGCGGCGAGCTGTTTGACCGGGTGGTCGAAAAGGTGTGTGAATATATATATATTATATATATATATAACCTCGATATGCTGTTAGTCGTACTATTCAGAGCGGGAAGCGCGGGACTTGGTTAAACTCCTCCTCGAAGCCATCAAGTATTGCCACGAGTGCAACGTCGTGCACCGGGATCTCAAGGTATACTTACTGGGTGTTGTATCATTTATTATTCCTATTTAAATGATTATTTATAATTTCACTTCACATATCATTTATTCGTAACCTTTCATTTATAATTCATATTGAGTAGCCGGAGAATCTGCTTTTGACAAGCAAGATGGACGACGCGTCGATTAAACTGGCCGATTTCGGGTTTGCCAAGCGCGTGGACATGCACGACGAAGGCCTCAAGACTGCGTGCGGGACCCCAGGGTACCATATCATGACGTGGCACATTGTGGTGACTTGTACACATAGGTACGTCGCGCCCGAGATCCTCGAGTCGAGGCCATATGGCAAATCGGTGGACATCTGGAGCATCGGCGTGATCACGTACATCTTGCTGTGTGGGTACCCCCCGTTTAACGACGACAACCACCACGCATTGTTCCGAAAGATTAAACAAGGCCAGTTCGAGTTTGACGCGCCCTACTGGGACGCCATATCCGACGACGCCAAGCACTTTATCGGGCAAATGCTGGTTGTGGACAACAAGCTACGGTATTAGAGTCATCACCACGAGACATATCTAAGCAAGTTGTAGAGCCACGGCGGCGCAGTTGCTCGAACATCCGTGGATCGTGGGCAGTCAGGTTGGTTTGCGTTTGACTTTTCATGTCCAAATTGACTGAAAAACGGAATGTCGTGGTGGTTCAGTGTGTGTATTTATAATAATATGGATGGATGTAGGTGTCGACAGTTCAGTTGAGCAGCGCTCTTGATGAACTTCGGCGGTTCACCGCGCGGGATAAGTTCAAGGGCGCGGTGCGGGCGGTGGTATACTAGTACTACTAGTAGTACATGGCACTTAATGGTTCATGTGTATAGATCATGGCCCAACAAGACGCAGCCAAGGCGAAACAAGCCACGTCATTACTTAGTACTAGTACTACTGCTAATACCCCACTCGTCGTCCGATGAGCAAGTGCCAGTGACAGCTAAAAAGATCAATACTAATCTAACGTAATACTTCAGTATTGTCCAAATTGGGGTGCCCAATCGACCTACTACTAATAGTAATCGACAGACAATCGATCGACCAATCAAAACCCACGACACATTCATAAGAGTGTGTGATACTCGAGAGTACTATTATCAATACTAGTAATAAGTTAGTAAGTACTCCGTACTATTAATAGTAGTGCTACAGTAGTACTAGTACTATTAATAACTATGAATTTGCTACAAATTTCCCATATGATGGTTCGTTCAACCGTACACAAACGAGCCGAGACAGTTGATTGGCTAATATCCACTTCGCCCTTTCCAGTAGAAAATCGAAATTGGATTGCAGCCAATCAGAGACAAGTAAGGGATTGGTGCTTGGTGCGGTCGGCCAGATTCGGTTGAACGGTCCGGAAATTCATACCGAATCTCCAATAACTTACTATTAAATCTTATAAAATTCAGTACTACAGTGTATTGTCGATTTGGGGATCGAATCGCGCCGACCAAACTGATCCACAATCGATCTGATTGGTTGAATATCATTGAGAAGGTTTTGATTGGCTAATAATTTTGAGCTCATCTGAAGTAGCCAATCAAATCGATTTATATTCCAACGAGAAACCACGCCACAACACGAAAATTCACTCGAAAGCACAATAAACATGGTACAAAAAACTGACCAATGGATTTGCCGATCAGCTTTGCACTTTAACTATAACATATATAAGAGTATTAATAGTACTACGTAATTACTTCATACTAGTACAACTAGCTAAGGCGACCAATCGTAGTACTTTATGTCGATTTGGTTTGCACTTTTTAGTCATAGTATATAGTATTAATAGTATGAGCACTGGGATATGTTGGGGTACAAACACTCAGTACAACGCAATCGAGAGCTTTTGCGACGCCAGCGGAACGAGCAAGTGCTCGCGAAGGACGTCGATCGTGTCTTTGGCCGTGTCCTTGAGCTCGAGAATCGACATTTGCTTGGAATCCCTACACCACTCAAACTGAACTTCAGATATTATCCCAAAAATCAATATATATGATATCAAGATATTATTGTACCGGTGCATGTCCACCACTACATGGGTGGTATGGGCCAGCGATAGCGCTTTCATCTCGAGCAGCGTCTTAATGCGGCCAGGAGTGCCTACATATTGCCGTGAGCTACATGCAGACGACATCTCTTCGGTACCGATGGCGATGGGATGGAAATGCTTGAGCATGTCCACTTGCTCTGTTAGCTTGAGGTGCTTGCCAAAGAGCTTGGCCACGTGGCAATGGAAGACAGCGATGGCCTTGCCGACTTCGACGGCCCGCAGCGCCGACGAGCACACGATCAGGAGGATGGGACTGCATTGATCCTTGATGCCTTTGCCTTTGAAGAGCAGTTTCCACTTGGGGCAGATCGAACGAAGAAAGCGAGATAAACTGTCCAGGTTGTGCTTGCCGAACTGAGGCACGACCGTGAAGTGCGCTTCTGTGAGTCCGTTGGCAATCTCCAGCGGCGTCAGGTTGTCCCCGTACAGCTTGGAGTACACGTCGTTGATGAGCTTGAAGTGCTCGGCCTGTGTCATGTTTTGCAACCCTTTGAGCGTCTTTTGCTTCTTGACGGCCTTCAATGGCTTGGCTGCAGCACCTTCTTCGTCGTTGCCAGCGGCCGTGTCGCGGGCGCGCTTTTTGCTTGCGGTGGCCTCGTCGACCACCTCCAACACTCCGTCCTCATCAACCTCCTCTTCATCCTCAACCTCCACGTCCGAGGTGTCGTTGTCGACCTCGACGCTCTCAATCGCCCAGTTCTGTTCCAATGTGTCGTCATTTACGGCCGCCGCGGCGGCAATTCCCTTCTTCGCAAACTTCTTCATGTTCGAGATGAACCAAAATGGCAATAACATTCCGGCCATTGGTTGGTCGATTCCAACCAATGACGGCAAAAGCAAACTTTCTCGGGCATCCCCTTCGCTAAAGTACTCTTTGATTAGGTAGTTTTCGATTACGTACGTTCTGTGATGCCACCGGCGGTTTTAGCATTTTGCCAGCATCTCTTCCTGCGAGGGGATCTTAGGTACATGGACACTTCCAGCACCAGCGCGTGGGCGTTCTACTACCTGCAGGCCGAGGACGGCGAGGATAGATCGCACCCGAACGCGTTCCGTATCCCCAAAGCGAGTCCCGGAGCCGACATCACCCTTGCCGACGTGCACAAGCACTTCCCACTGGCGAACCCACATGCGTTTCATTTCCGATTCCGCATCAACAGTGCCAAGGGAGACACGTTCTTCTGGATCGACATCACGTCTCCGTCCCAAGTCGTGCCTCTCGTGAACGGTCGCGTGATCTCCAAGGTGCTGCGTCTCCAGCGACCGGTCAAGGTTGGCCTCGTGTTGCATCGCAAGCCCGTCCTCAAATGGATCGACTCGTTGCCTTCCAAACCGACTTCGTCTCTGTCATCTGTGCAACCCATCTCTTCCCAGCGAACCAACACCAACTCGTCCATCGACCGACCGCAAAAGTACTCGGACGCGTCCTCGTCGCCAGGTCCACCCGCGCCGCCCGCTCGTCCTCCCCCAGCAGCCACAGCTCCGTCCTCGTCCAAGCCGTCCACAGAAAGCACAGAGTCCTTCGAAGACTTCTTGTCTGGAGGCGGCGCTCCTTCCAAACCAGCTCCCGACGTGGTCGATCTCATGGGGTCAGGTACAGCAGCGACCACATGGCCGAACAAAACGCAGCCGCCGTCTCCTTCGTTGCCCCCTCCGTCCACCACCCCTCGTCCGACAACCCCTCCGAAACCGGCGGCGGCGGCCAAGAACTTTGAAGACGACTGCGGCCAGACCGTCGGTGCGTCCATCCGTCTCTTGTGCACCTCACCATGTTCTAGGTCCCGTGTCGCTGGCCGAGATGGAGAAGCACAAGGTGAGCTCCGACGGCACGCAAGTGTACAACCCAGATCTCGTGGACAAGTCGACCAAATCGTCGGCGGTGCGCGCCGCCATGGAGGAGCGGGAGCGCACCAAGGCGGCCGAGATTGAGCGGGCGCGGCAGGACCTGCTCCGTCGGGATGACGAAAAGGCCGCGATGGACAACGCCAAGGCGCACAGCGTGACCGTGCTCGGTCCCAAGATGAAGGCATGGGCAGAAGACAACGGCCGCAAGAAAAATATCCGCACGCTGCTAAGTACCATGCACCACGTGATGTGGCCAGATTCAAAGTGGATCGAGGTAACGGATGTGAATATGTATAAAAGTAGCAATACATGATAATGCAAAATACTCAAGATATGAATATATTTATGCTGCTGCTTGTATAGGTGAATATGGGCAAACTGCTCATGCCGAACGATGTCAAGAAGGTGTACCGCCGAGCGATCATGGTGGTGCACCCAGACAAGGCGGGCGGCCGGACTCCCGATCAGCTTGTGGTTGCTGAGCGCATTTTCGATGCACTCAACACGGCCTGGGATGAGTTTTCACGAACAGAACTGAAATAATCACCAGTTATAGTTGCCATTGCATATGAAGGTTCAGGTGTTTGTTTACAAGGTGTGTTGCGTTGAGTGTATGGACGCTCGTTCTCTGCCTTATAAGCATACGTACTGTATGCTGTAGTACTATCTACACTGTACTTGCGCTTTGAAGCACATATATACTAGTACACTGTACCCGAGTAGTCTCGTACTGGAGCTGAAGTACAAGTGCCGTGGCAGCTCAGGCGGTGAGGACCTATTGTTCAATATAAAACTATGTGTTTTATATGGGGGTTCGATTCCTGTATGAAGGGGAAAACATGTAGATGCTTTGGACTGGTACAGAAAGTAGCCTGGAGCACATCATGTACTTTGAAGTAACTACTACAGTACACGCATGCGTCTATGTCTATTCGACTTACAGTGTACAGTTCCTCCCTCTACACGGACGTCCGGACAACGAGATATAGGTGGCTAACGAAACGATAGTCCTAACTAGCTTGGTTAAGTGAAGGGTGTTGGGGGTGTAGGTTGGGGGTGTCAAAGGTGTCAGGGGGCGGGGTGTATTTAGGACAACAGGCGATTTACTTTACAGATGAGTGTTGTGGATTCGATACGAATTTCCAGACCCCGTCGAATCGAATCTCGCCGCTGAATCGAATCACGAATCGACGCTATTGGCTAATCCATTTTTTAGTGGATTTGATTGGCTCTTGCAGAAAGGACAAGTACGTATATTCAACCAATCACAACTACCGGCGTGATTCAATATGGACTAATTAGACAAACCAGGCGAATTTTGGAAGTTTATAGCGAATTCACAATAGATACGACACATTAGCTCGCATCAGACTTAGGTACGTGATGACCTAGTACTGTAGATCATCGATAGTTCTACGTTTACCCTCTCAATCTACACAGGTAGTATCCGGATCCGAATACGCAAGATCGCGACCTTTCACAGCAAGAAACACAACATGGGGGTTGCCGAGAGTAAGCCCCACCTCCAAGCTCCTTTCCAGCGCCTCTCTGAATGTATCGATCGTCGTACAAATCCATCCTTTTCACACTCTAGTAAGCGAACGGGGTACTGTAGGGACGTTTGCGCGAGTGGAGAAGCTCTTGACTGACTACGTGGCCAAGGATTTGGATTTTGGCCTCGACTCCCACGCGTTGAGTTTGCTCTTAGACGGAGACAAGGAGTGGAGCGACGAGATCGTCAAAGCATTTGCAAGTCCAAATGGATTGTACGTACACTAGTATAGTGATAATAGTAGTAAACTCGTACGTTTGGTCGTAGGATCAATGCGCTCACGTTCATCACTGGTGCGGCGTTGGCGGTGATGGGCGAACCAACCGAAAAAGCTGCCTGTAAGCACCCGTTGTACTTTGTTCACGATATCCCCACTCACATGTATTTTTCATGCACATACGTCAGTGTGTTTTCGCGCATTTGACTTTAGCGGCACCAACACCATCTCCCTTGACGAAACGGTGCATCCAATATCGCTATCTGTCTCTTGTTGGAGCGTGCATATATAATGACTGACTTGGTGATATGTAGACGATTCTGTTTATGTGTGCGTTGCGAGGGTTTGTCTTGATCACGGGCCAAGGTACGATTCCAAAGGATGACAAGCTCGAAGCCACAGCGTTGGACGTGTATCGGACGGTACGAATACTCATTATGCCATGTTTTACACTTTGTACTTGGGTAACCAGGTATGTATGGCCTTAGTATGACAAGGACAACTATTCCAAACTCACGAAAGACGAGTTTACGAAATGGACTACGTCGAAACTCAGCTCCATCGCACCCTCCGACCTCACCCCCCACCGATTTCTGCATGCCCTTGGGCTTGGCAGTGACCCCATCGTTCCATCTTCCACTGTGGACAACCAAGATGGCGGAACTACTCTCGACGGCATCATGTCAAACGCTGCACCAGCAGTCTCCTTTTAAAAGTCGGCGTAATAACACGTCCTTTCAGTGCTACTTAGTAGCAGCACGACAACCCAATATTCTGGTTGTATGTAGAAGAATGCAAAATGTACTACAGTACTGCAGTCCTCCAGTACTGTAATACTCCTCGTCTTTTGGCTTCTACAGATACATTATCCGTAATATCCATATAACGTACAGTAGTTCGTCTTGCAACTGTTTCAACCGTGTCAATGTCATCTTCATGACAACATGCACGAACGTTCGGTTCTATGTGCGCTTGAGGCAACCTGCAGACGCATACTGACCGTGTCTGGCTGGGATCATGGCATTCCTGAGTACGAAACGGTCGTGGCGGTTTCAGACGTGCGAATGTTGGTCAAAACATCAAAAAGTTGGTTTTATTGAGTATTTATCATACCCTACCAGAACCCCTTGTGGCGCAGCCGTACCAGCCCTACCCCTGCCGATTTCATCACTAACCGGCTGAAGCCACAAGGGGTTCTGATGTGAAAAGTCAATACACAATATAGCTGCGAGCAATCCGTCCCGAGTTCGATCCCGGTTGGAGTCCTTCTTTTGCCTTCTACGGATACATTATCCGTAGTATCCATGTTGGTCGTTGTGTCAACCAAAACAGATTGATGTTTAGACATGGAACCAGATGCAGCGGCGGACGTGGAGCCGATGCGGGAGCCGTCGGACCTTGTGCGACTACGGGCGTATCTGGAGGAACATTTCCCCGTGGCAGAACGTGGGCTTATCTGTGCACCAATTCAAGCACGGGCAAAGCAACCCGACGTGCTTGTCCAGCTACCACTCTCGGACTCCCACCTCATCCCCCCCGATGAAGATGCTGCTTCCGCTACTCCAGCCAATGACAGCTAGACCCGCCATGGACTACTCGAGTGTGTATTTCGCAACTTGTACTGCATCATGACGTCGCTACCGAACTGACGACAGCATCCACGTCCAACCGCGACGCGGTGATTCAGTTCCAACGCAAGCTCTGCACAGTGGAAGACGTCCAAGAACTTTTAGACGGGCTTTCTAGAGGCCGCGATCTCGGTCGAGTTGCGTATGGCCAAGCTGTGATTGCGCAAAGTACATTGAGGGCGTGCGCTGAAGGTCAAGTTTGCCTTGTAGGAGGATATGAAGGGTATGCATAATACAGTAATACAGTGAATGTTCTCGCTGATTCAATAA